TGAGTAGCTGGGACTACAGGCGCCCGCCACCACACCCGGCTAATTTTGTATTTTTAGTAGAGATGGGGTTTCACCATGTTGGCCAGGGTGGTCTCAATCCCTTGACCTCAGGTGATCTGCCCGCCTCGGTCTCCCAAAGTGCTGGGATTACAGGCCTGAGCCCCCACACCCGGCACAAGGTCACTTGTATGTTCCCCTTGGTGGCATTACATCAATAAGCCATAATTTATTTCCCCTCAGGACACTTATTTGACCCCATACTGAGGTGCACAGCCTGGGTGGACATGCCCCGTGCCTCCTGGGCTGAGTCCGTGTGGCCTTCAGAAAGGCCCCAGTCCAGCCTGAGGCACGAGGAAGGGGCCGAATGACGAAGGGGCCCCCACAGCCATCTGAGAGAGTTTAGTCTTTGCCGAGTCCAGTGGAGCCACTAAAGGCTTGTGGTACACATAGGAGTCCGTCTGGTATCAGCTGTTTTTTTCCCTTTTGGAATTTTTTTTTTTTTTTTTTTGAGATGGAGTCTCACATTTGTCCCCCAGGCTGGAGTGTGGTGGCGTGATCTTGGCTCACCGTAACCTCCACCTCGCAGGTTCAAGTGATTCTCGTTTCTCAGCCTCCTGAGCAACTGGGATTATAGGCATGCGCCACCATGCCCAGCTAATTTTTGTATGTTTAGTAGGGATGGGGTTTCACCATGTTGGCCAGGCTGGTCTCAAATTCCTGACCTCAGGTGATCTGCCTACCTCAGCCTCCCAAAGTGCTAGGATTATAGGCATGAGCCACTGTGCCCGGCCATTTTTTTTTTTTTTTTTTTTTTTGAGATGGAGTTTCACTCTTGTTGCCCAGGCTGGAGTGCAGTGGCTCGATATTGGCTCACTGCAACCTCCGCCTCCCAGGTTCAAGCGATTCTCCTGACTCGGCCTCTGGAGTAGCTGGGATTACAGGCATGCACCAACACAGCTGGCTAATTTTGTATTTTTAGTAGAGACAGGGGTTCACCATGTTGGTCAGGCTGGTCTCGAACTCCCAACCTCAGGTGATCCGCCTGCCTCGGCCTCCAAAAGTGCTGGGATTACAGGCGTGAGCCACCGTACCTGGTCCCAGCCAATTTTTTAATTAATTAATTTTTTTTTTTTTGAGGCAGAGTCTCTGTCATCCAGGCTGGAGTGCAGTGGCATGATCTCGGCCCACTACACCCTCCGCCTCCTGAGTTCAAGCAATTCTCCTGCCTCAGCCTCCCAAGTAGCTGGGACTACAGGGATCTGCCAACACGCCCAACTAATTTTCTTTTTGTATTTTTAGTAGAGACGGTGTTTCACTATGTTGGCCAGGCTGGTATTGAACTCCTGACCTCATGATCTGCCCGTCTCGGCCTCCCAAAATGCTGGAATTACAGGCATAAGTCACTGCCCCTGGCCTTATTTCATTTTTTTGAGATGGAGTCTGTCTCTATCACCTAGGCTGTAGTGCAGTGGCATGATCTCAGCTCATTGCAACTTCCACCTCCTGGGTTTAAGTGATTCTCCTGCCTCAGCCTCTGAGTAGCTGGCATTACAGGCATTTGCCACCATGCCTGGCTAAGTTTTGTATTTTTAGTAGACATGGGTTTTGCCATGTTGACCAGGCTGGTCTTGAACTCCTGACCTCAGATGACCCACTTGCCTTGGCCTCCCAAAGTGCTGGGATTATAGGCATTAACCCCTGCGCCTGGCTATTTTTTTTTAATTCAAAAATTTTTTTTTTGTAAAGATATGTCTCATTATGTTTCCCAGGCTGGTCTTGAACTCCTGGCCTCAAGTGATCCTTTAATCTTGGCCTTCCGAAGCATTGGGATTATAGGCATGAGCCACCACATCTGGCCTTCAATTTTATAATTAAAAAAAATTGTGATGATATTAAAATGTACTGGTTATAACAAGAAAACTTGTTTTTTGGAAAAACAGTATTTTTTGCTGGGCATGGTGGCTCACACCTGTAATCTCAGCACTTTGGGAGGCTGAGGCAGGAGAATAGCTCAAAGCCGGGATTTTGAGACCAGCTTGGGCAACATAATAAGATCCCATCTCTTAAAAAAAAAAAAAAATTAAAAATGAGCCAGGTGGCCAGGCCTGGTGGCTCATGTCTAATCCCAGCACTTTGGGAGGTCAAGGTGGGCGGATCACCTGACATTGGGAGTTGGAGACCAGCCTGACCAACAAGGGGAAGTCCTGTCTCTACTAAAAATACAAAATTAGCTGGACGTGGTGGCACATGCCTGTAATTTCATTTACTCGGGAGGCTGAGGCAGGAGGATTGCTTGAACCCAGGAGGCAGAGGTTGCGGTGAGCCGAGATCACACCATTGCACTCCAGTCTGGGCAACAGAGCAAAACTCCATCTCAGAAAAAAAGAACCGGGCATAGGGACATGCACTTTTAGTCCTAGCTATTCAGGAGACTACAGGCTGAAGTATTGCTTAAACCCAGGAGGTGGAGACTGCAGTGGCTATGACCGTACCACTGCACCCCAGCCTGGGCGACTGAGCGAGACCCTGTCTCCAAAAAAAAACAAATAAGATTTCAGAAGGCAGCCTGGCACCTGAGCAGTGGGGGAGGGGCAGGGTAGTAGCATTTGTGGGGCCCCGGTGAAGCCACTGAGTGACGCGGAGCTGGGGCAGCCCTGACTGCCTACAGCCCGGCCGTGCTGGCGCTACACGACATGCTGAAGCAGCAGCTGAGCCTGACGCAGCAGTTCATCCAGGCCAGCCGGCACCTGCACGCCTCCCTCCTGCACTCCCTGGACGCAGACTCCTTCCACTACCACACCCTGGAGGAAGCCAAAGAGGTGAGCGCGGCTCCCCATGGGGCAGGGCAGTGGAGGCACAGCAGCTTCCAGATGCCAGCTGAAGGGATAGTGGCCGGGGCCCAGGCTCCAGCGCTCAGCCCAGGACTGCAGGGATGTGATGGGGCCATCACTCTCTGTCCTTTGGGAAGGAGGGAGCCTGATTTCATACCACCCTGTGGCAAGAGCCAGTACATGGTGGGGTGCTGAGCTCCTGCACCTTGCAGCCAGCCCTGCTTGGGCTGTGTGACCTCAGACTAAAGGGACCTGCTGTCCATGGTAGTGTCTTCTCTCGTGGGTGGGGTCCTGTCCCTTTCACTGAGGCTTCTGAGAGTCACCTGAGATGGGACCAGGGGAAGACGGGAAGCCCAGATCTTTTTTAGATGGAGTTTCACTCTTGTTACCCAGGCTGGAGTGCAATGGCACGATCTTGGCTTGCTGCAACTTCCGCCTCCTGGGTTCAAGCAATTCTCCTGCCTCAGCCTCCCGAGTAGCTGGGATTACAGGCACGTGCCACCACACCCAGCTAATTTTTGTATTTTTTAGTAGAGACAGGGTTTCACCATGTTGACCAGGATGGTCTCGATCTCTTGACCTCGTGATCCACCCGCCTTGGCCTCCCAAAGTGCTGGGATTACAGGCTTGAGCCACCGCACCCGGCCCTCAGATCTTCTTAGTGATCACCCTCACCGCTTTCGTACCCTCTAAGAATTTGTCTGATTACCAGCTGGGCACAGTGGCTCACGCCTGTAATCCCATTACTTTGGGAGGCTGTGGTGGGTGGATCACCTGAGGTCAGGAGTTTGAGACTAGCCCGGCCAACATGGTGAAACCCCATCTCTACTAAAAATGCAAAAATTTGCCAGACATGGTGGCGCGCACCTGTAGTCTCAGCTTCTTGGGAGGCTGAGGCAGGATAATCACTTGAACCGGGAGCTGGAGGTTGCAGTGAGCCGAGATCATGGTACTGCACTCCAGCCCGGGTGACGGAGCAAGACTCCATCTCAAAAATGAAAGCGGTGGTGGGCCCACAAGCAGGCGGGGTGTGCCCAGGGACGCTGGTTTGGAAGTGCTGCCCTCGGGGCCCCCTGCACCCCGGGCCTCTCGTTTCCTGTGGTTTATCTGCTGAAGAGGGCAGGTTGAGTCCCATTGGGTCTCTACATTCTGAAATTTGTTCATTGCAGCCCTCGGGTCTTTGAACTCGTGCCTCTGTTGGGCGTCCATCAGCCCATGCCTTGCAGGCAGAAGTCACCTCTCCATGGCACCTGCCTGCAGCCTGCCATAGTTCCCAGCTGCCTGCTCCAGGCACTTCTCCCAGATCCCACCTGCTCCGAGGACACCCACAGGTGCCCCTCCCTTCTGTGAGGGCTCACCCATCGCAGGGCTCACCTGAGTGTCCCTCTACCCTGTGTTCCCACAGCCCCCAGGCACTCCTGTGTGCTAGCGTGTCACACACAGCCTGTTTTATGCTTTCTGCTTCCGTCAGCCAGAGAGGAGCCTGCTGGGGGGGCAGGACAGCTGCCGGCTCCACTCCCTCCTCCAGCACCCCGAGTGTGCTGAGGTGGTGGTGGTGACAGCGCGGTGTGTCTTTTGCCTGACAGTACATTAGACGCCACAGGCCTGCCCCGCTGACCATGGAGGACGCCCTGGAGGAGGTGACCAAGGAGCTGTGAGCACCAGCGGGTGGAACCTGACGTGACGTCTAAGGAAAGGTACCCCATCCTGTGTACTCAGAGTGTGCGTGCGCAGTCACACCCCCCCTCCCTCCCTCAGCATCCAGTTCCGTGGTGGGGACAGGTAGTGCTGGAGTGAGGGTCCTGTATTCCTCTGAGCCAAATCCCAGCTCAGTCAGTGACAGTTCTCCCAACAGCACGCCCAGCTCTAGGACACTGCAGGCCAGTGGAAAGGGAGTTTCAGTGGAGCTGTCTTCACTCACAGGAGAGGGGCCACCAGCCTCTGCAGAGCAGTTCCACCCAGGCAGGTCCTGGCTTCCCAGCAAGTCAGAGGGAGGCAGGGTGGACGGGAGAAGCCCTGCTCGACGATGAGGACATGAGACCAGGCATGCTGGGGACGCCATGTGAGCCACTGGGCAGAGCCTGACCCCAAGTGGCACAGCTCAAACCAGGACACGCGTCTCCTCACTCAGCCTGAGTACACTTCTGACTTCCACAAGCGGGGAGAAAGGTCTTTAAAAAAAGGCTTTATTTGAAGGCAAAACAATGAAATCCACAAGAAATTGCTAACAGCACGTGTTTACGTTTTATCCTGAATTATAACGTTTTAACAATTCACAGCTACAAGAAATCTAGAACAGAATCAAATATTTTATCACATTGGGTTGAAAAGTTGGAGGATTTTGCATCTTATTGAAAACAATTTTTCAAAAATGTCTTTGTACAAATGAATGGCATTGCACTGGGCTGCCCACGGACACGAGGCGTGGCTGATTCCCAGGGGGCATGTACTCCCCTCCCTGTGGGGTGTGAAATGACGGAGTGGGAGGCCCTGGCTGGTGGGGGGGGGGGGCGGGCTCCACGCTCTGGATGGGACTGGGCCGTCGTGTGTACTCCAGCCAGCGCGGGGTTCTTCCAAGTGCGAAACCGAAGCAGGGGATGCGACCGGCATGGACTCTGAGGGCAGCACTCGACCTGAAGTGCCTTAAGCTGGTTTCCTGTTAGAATCTTGATTCCCAGACAACAGCACATGGCTAACATTCCAGAAAAAAAATATCAACTTACACAACTAAAATAACTAAGGGCCAGTATGCCTTCAAGGAATCGGGTTTGAGAATCTCACTGGGCCTCCTCTCAGGTCAGTATTCTTCTAAAACTAAACCAAGGGGGATAAAAATGAAAACCTTGCTTGACTTTCCAAGTCAAAGTTTTGTGTTTCTGTTTTTCTATCGTCTGTGGGCAGTCATGGCACTGGGCCTCGGCATTCTCCCTACACAGCTGAGGGTAAGGCGGGTCAGGGCACATGGGTGCCAGGAGCCGGGGAGCTAGGGCACCAGCTGTGGCCTGGGCCGACCCCTCCTGCACACACTTCTGGAGCCTGAGAGGAGGCTTTGCTCTGACTTAGGGCAGATGCGCATCCATCCCTTCGTGGGTGAAGTCTTTCTCGGGGGCAGAGGATCTTGTGTTTCTTGCTTCAGTGTGAAGGAAAACGAGCCTGGGGCCCTGGTGGCTGCTGCGAGCACGGTGCTCCCACTGGGCATGCGCTGGTCTTCCTTCTCTTCCTGTGGGGCTCTCCACCCGTGGAGACGGTGGGAGAACTGAGCTGTCACCGTGATCTTCCACTGCCAGTCCGCCAGGAAGGTCCCACAGCTGGCACCGCTGGCCACCAGCGCAGCTCCCCGCACAGGCGCCTACTTGCACTCGTCCCTGGCCTTCATGCGGGCGATGAAGGAGTAGCTCTTGTTCCTGCGGTAGTTCTCGTAGGGGTCGTCCAGGGCCACGCCCACGCCTTTATACTGGTCCCACTTATCCCGGACGTCCCCACCCTTGATGGGGTCCTGGATCCCTTGCTCCTTCGCACCGAGGCCGCCAGAGCCACTCCAGCCTGGAAAGAGATGCACGATCACGACTGCAACAGGGCGGGGCGGATGCGGGTGCACGGGCGGCCGGGTACACAGACAGGCAGTGTGGACACGGGAGACGGGTAGGGAGAGAGAACCCCGCAGGCCAGCCCTGTCTAGAGGCTCTGGGCAGAGTCAGGACCGGCCGGACTCCATCCCTCCCCACACGCCAGGCCCAGCACGCCGTGAAGATCCTTCCCGAGCCGTCCGCGTGCCCCCGCCTTACCCATTTTCACCAGCATCTGATGGCCTTTGTTCTCTTCTCCGAGCCTCGAGTCAGGGATGGGAGGTGCTGAATTAGAACCCAGACCAGCAGAGGAACTAAAATCGAGACAGGTTATTCTTTTAAGGAGTAACTGAGACATTTACTGGCGTGACAGCGATGGGGCCTCAGAGCTGTGGCTCGCATGTGCTCACCATCGCCAGGCAACGCTGTAGGCAGATTTTGCGCTAAACCCGTTTATCCTGCATCAGCCAGATAAGGGGGCTTCAGCCGCTGATGCCCACCCACCCACCGTACACTCAGCACCGAGGGTGGGACAGTGAGCCCTGACGGTGGTTAGCAGATGCCAACTACTGCCTCAGGCATGGCCAAGTGACTGCTGTCGGGGGCGGTGAGGGGTGCCCCTGTCCCTAGGCTAACTGGCGGGCTCCTAACCACCAATGCTTCCATATTCACAGCAAAGCACCACAGAGTCCCAGCATCACCAGCATGGCAGTCAAGATAGGATCTTACGGCGGGGTGGGGCTCCTGGACCGTGACCGACGTCTCCTTCCCGGGGAGTACGACTTGGACCGGGACCGCGACTGGGACCGGGAACGGCTTCTGGAGGAGCGCGACCTGCTCCGGCTTCTGCAGGGAAGAGTGTCCACGTGTCGGCAGCAGCCAGGCGCTGTGGGGAGGCCGCAGGAAGAGGCCCTGGGCACTGCCCTCCCGAGGCGGCCTCCGCCTACCTGGATCTGGAGCGGGAGTAGGAGCGGGAGCAGGAGCGCGACCTGGACCTTGAGTACGAGCCTGACGACTTGGAGGATCTCGAGTTGGAGCGGGAGGAAGAACGCCCTCGGCTCTTGGATCTGCTCCGAGACCTTGAGGGTCCGCTGCGGGGAGAGGCCTGATGATCGGGTGCCCGGGGGGCCTGTCTGCCTGTGGCCTGGACCCGGCCCACCCTGACCCTCAGGTTCCTGGAAGACCCCAGATGCAGGGGGTCTGGCGTGGATACGACACCACAGCCGCAGCAATGGTATTAAACAGTATGGCTGAACTTGCTGCTGTGTTCATTCAGGCCTTGTGGAAAACAGCGCCCCACAGGCACAGGCCGTGTGAGGGGCCCGCTGTGAGCCTACCCATCATCACAGGCTGTGGGCCCTGGCTGCCCGGCCACAGCAGGCGCCTGCAGCTTTACCTGTTCCTCTTCTCCTGGCCTTTCCTCCGCCGGGCCCGCATTTTTGCTCGGAAGAACTCATAGAGACCGTTCTGCTCCCAGCCTTCACTGCAAGACATGATATCCCGTGTGAGCACACGACGCCCATGCGCAGGGCGCTCGTGAAAAAGTCATCAGGAGTGAACCCGCAGAACCCTTGAGAGTACGTGGCCCTGTGGCCAGGGGCCAGGCCCTCTCCCTCTTGCCTGCAGGACACGCTCGCCCTGGGGACGGGGCTCCGACCACGGGCGCAGAGGCCCTTGGCTCAGCGTTCCCATGGGCCCGTCCTCCTGCAGGCCAGGGGCTCCTCTGCTGCCCATGCCCTTGCCACCTGGCTGTTCTGCTGACATGGTGGGCACCTGTGGTCCGTGGCACTGGGGAACAGGAGCCCTGATTCACGGGCGGACATGCCTGCTGCTTCTCAGACGTGCCCTGCGCCGCACCTGCCATACTTTCTCCTGCTCATGTGTCTCCATTAAAACCACCTTCGCTGAAGGCCAGGTGTGTGTTGTGCCTGTGACACAAACTTGTCACTCGGGGTAGGGGGTGGTTCCCTCCTGCAGGACAGCCACATTTTTCTAGCCTGGGCAGGAGGTGGCTGGGAGCGGGAGAGAGGCCTCCTCCCTCCTCCTCCCTCCCCACCAACCCAGGCCTCATACCTGTTCCTGGGTCTGTCGTGGGACGGGGGGCTGTAGAAGGCCTCCACCGCGGCCAGCAGCCTCTCGCTGGGCGGCATTGGGGGAGGGAGGCGGATGTCTTTAGGGTCCAAAGGCTTGTATTCATGGTCTTCCAGCTGTAGCAGAGAACCCAGCTGTCACCGTGCCTGGGCGGGGCCCCCTCAGTCCCACCCACAGTGCGAAAGGAGTAGGGTCAGTGTCAGGGGTGTCCTGGGCACCAGAGGTCCTTATCCGTCCCTCTTGGGGAACCCCTCTCTCTCGCAGGACTTCAGCCACACCAACCATGGAAGGTCACAGCTGCTCTGAGGCTGATGACAGTCACAGGGTTCTCTTCAGAAAACCACCCACAGGAGACATGGTCTCCAAACTCAGGTGACATGAATAACCCCGGTTTATTCACAGACACGAGGTAGGCCCCTCCATTGGAACACTCTCGGCCGCAGCCCTGGAGCCTGCTGGCCTGCCCGGCTTGTCTGGGCCCCCTGCTTGCAGCTCTCCCTGCTGCCCATGGCTCCATGAAGCCTGCCTGGACTTCCAGGTGGACGTCTGAGAGGGGGTAGGAAGTGGCAGTGACCAGCATCCCCTTGGAGCCCCCCAGCCCCGGCCCCGGCCCCTACTCGCCTTACCTCCTCTTGCCCTATGCTCCGGCCACCCCACAGTGGTGCCAGCTGATGCCAGCCCTGCCCGGCTACTCCAGGGCCACCCCCTCCCTGTGTGCCTGACAGCCACAGCTCACAGGTGGCTCCTCCTGAGACATCCCCTCCAGCCCTGGGACAAGGTGGCTTCTGAGGGCCTAGACCAAGAGGGACGAAGGGAGTACTTGTGCCTCACAGCCCAACCGACCCCGAGTAGCTGCAGCTCCCTGTGGCAGGGACAGGGGAGGCAGGGCAGGCACGGCATCACTCACGGCCACACCGTGCAACTCAGGTTTAGACCCCTCCCACTGACTGATCAGGGTCCCCGGTGAGTGGGAGATGAGGAAGAGGTGCCCCAGAAGGCACCTGGTCCCATGTGTTCATTTCTCATGGGAGAAACGGGACAGCAGGGTGAACGTGCTCAGCTTGGAGCCTGCCGAGGGGCATTACCTTCACGAGGGGGGCCATCAACCCGGCAGGGAGATCGAAGTAGGGCACGTTGGGGACCAGGCTGGGGTCGTCATGGTTGATGTGGGGCGGGCCCTGTCGCCGCATGTGGGGGGGCTGCCCGTTGAAGCCGTGGGGAGGAGGGCCAAAGTCAGGGTGCTGGGGCCCGGCCCAGGGCGGGTGCTCATTGATGCCAGGATGAGGCATGCGGTGGCCAGGGTGGTGGTGAGGGGGCCCCATTTCTGCAAAACAGAGATTGTCTCAGGAACGCAGGCCAGTCGGATCTCCCAGGTGACACGTGCTAGAGGGGCGGGGCTCAGTGAGGGGCCAGGAGGCCAGCCCCTCCTGGGAGCCTGCCCAGCACCTCTCACTGCTCAAGGCCAGGCAGTGAGGCAGGGAGGAGCCGGGCTCCAACAGGCACAGCCAAGGAAGCCTGAGGCTGAGAGAAGAGAACCACAAAAGCTGAAAACTGCAATGTGACGGCCAAGCTGTGACCTCCGAATTCACACACTGAAGTCCACCCCTCAGCAGCTCAGGACGGGACTGTCTTTGGAGAATGGGACTTTCAAGACACATGAGTTAAAATGAAGTCATGGTGGTGGGCCCTCAGCCAATGTGACTAGTGTCCTTCTAAGAAGAGATTCAGACACAGACACGTAGAGAGAAGCCGGTCACCTATGAGCCAAGGAGATAGGAAGACACTAACCTGAACCTGCCACACCACAACCTCGAACCTCCAGCCCCCAGATCCTTAAGACCATACATTCTAACTGTTTAAGCCGCCCAGGCTGCGGGACTTTATGGTGTCAGCCCAAGCCATAAATAAAAGCAAGAAATGTGCCAAGCAGCCTCCAAGCTGCACTTATCACCAGAAATGTATGTAAAGGCAGACGGGCAGGCGCAGTGGCTCACGCCTGTAATCCCAGCACTTTAAGAGGCCAAGGCGAGTGCATCACTTGAGGCCGGAGTTTCAGGTCAGCCTGCCAATATGGGGAAACCCGGCCTCTACTAAAAACACAAAAATTAGCTGAGTGTGATGGCGGACGCCCGTAATCCTGGCTACTCAGGAGGCTGAGGTGGAAGAATCACTTGAACCCAGGAGGAGGAGGCCGTAGTGAACAGAGATTACACCATGCACTCTACCTAGGGTGACAGAGTGAGACTCAGTCTCAATCAAACAAAAAAAAACAACAAAAGCAGCACTAAAAGACTACAAATAAATAAAATTTTTAAAAGATACTGGGCTTGGTGGCTCACACCTGTGGACCCAGCTACTCCAAAGACTGAAATGGGATGATTGCTTGAGCTAGAGCTTGAGATTAGCCTGGCCAACATAGCAAGACCCCATCTCTATTTAAAATAAAATTAAGGGCCAGGCGCGGTGGCTCACGCCTGTAATCCTAGCACTTTGGGAGGCCAAGGTGGGTAGATCACCTGAGGTCAGGAGTTCAAGACCAGCCTGGCCATCATGCTGAAACCCCATCTTAAAAAAAAATAAAGACAGAAAAAAATAAAAATGTTTTAAAAAGAAACTCAACAAAACTATTTTGTTTTTGAGCCAAGGTCTGTCGCCCAGGGTGGAGTATAGTGGCGTGATCATGGCTCACCGTAACCTCAGCCTTCTGAGCAGCTGGGACCATAAGCACCAGACACCACATGACTTTTTCTTTTTTTGAGACAGAATCTTGCTCTGATGCAGGCTGGAGTGCAGTGGTGTGATCTCAGCTCACTGCACCTCTGCCTCCCAGGTTCAAGCAATTCTCCTGCCTCAGTCTCCTGAGTAGCTGGGATTACAGGTGCAGGCTAATTTTTGTATTTTTAGTAGAGACAAGGTTTCACCACGTTGGTTAGGCTAGTCTCAAACTCCTGACCTCCTGATCCGCCTGCCTTGGCCTCTCAAAGTGCTGGCATTACAGGTGTGAGTCACCGCGCCAGGAAAACTGATGCAAAAAGCAAGCAGCAGCAGAAAGCAGCCCCACCTTGCCCTTGCCATGCCCACCCACGGCCAGAACCTTTTTCCTGTCAGATGTCTCATCTGCAGAGGGGCAGATGGTGCCCGCAGCTCCTGGCGCGGCTGAGGAGGGGATGGGAGTAGCCACCTCTGTGGCCAGCCCAGCCTAATCAGTGCGGCAAGGCTGAGTCTGTGTCCCACTTCCCGAGAACCTGGCTGGGCTCCTCCAACGTCCCGCGACCCTTTGCCTGTCCCCGAGCACTGATACTCGGGAGCACGCCAGGGCCACAAACAGCCCCACCAGCCTGCCCGTGGGCCTCTCCGCCCGGCCCTCCCCGTGCCCATGCACTCACCGGCAGGGAAGTCCCCCTGGGGGTAGTCGAAGCGATGGGGATAGGGTGGCCGCTCAAAGGGGTGCCGCGGCGGGAAGTCGTCCTGCATGAAGCGGGGCGGGAAGCGGTTGAAGTTGTGGGGGTGTGGAGGCTGGTTGAACTGTGGGTGCTGCTGGTGGGGTGGGAAGGGCCCCCGAAAGTGCGGGGGTCGCTGCATGCGGAAGGGCGGCTCGCGCTGGCCCCCGCCCCAGGGCGGCTGCTCGTGCTGGCTGTTCCAGGGGCCCTCGAACTGGCTGTTCCAGGCCGGGTCGGGCTGGTTGTTCCAGGGCGCGTCGCGCTGACCGTTCCAGCCGGGGTCGCCACGCTGCTCGCCCCACATGCCCTCGTGGCTGTTGTTCCAGGGCGGGCAGTGGGGCGGGCCGCCCTGGTGGTGCGGATAGGGCGGCTGCTCTGGCGGCTGCAAGGCAAAGCAAGGGCGTTAGCTCTGCACGGTCTGGGCCCAGCACCAGTGGCTCGGTGGCATCACAGCACTGCCCCAGACCATGGAGGTACTGCCCCGGGCTGTCGGGGCGCTGCTGAGGCCTGCAGGGATGCGGGGCACCTGCCCTGGGCTGGAGCCACATGCTGCTGCAAAGTGACCAGACCCCCAACCGCTGCACCCCCATCTCAGTCCCGGGGCTCCTTCTGGCCACTGGGGCACGCTGCACCCGCACACAGGCCGCGCATGTCACGAGGCGCTCCCCGCTCCCACTGCCAAACGCCAGCTCCCTCGCCCATTGGGGATGGTACAGAGGCACAGCTGGTACCACTTCTCAAAGCACCGCAGGTACCTACAGGGGGACTCACTCCCCCTCTCCCCAAAAGCCATCTCCTGGGGTCACCTCCCAGATACACTGCTGCCCACACACCCTTGACTTGGGGTCTGCTTCTGGGAAACCTCAAACCAGGCCAGCATCTTCCTATAGATTTCAGACGAGGCTCCAACCTCACCAGCTCTTGCGCTGGAGACGTAAAGCTGGGAGGGCAAGCTCCAGTTGGGGCTGGGGCGGGGAGGAGCACACAGGCCAAGAAGGCCGCTGTCTGTGCTCACAGGGGTAGCTGTGCTGACCCCCACTAAGGGGAGGCTGGCCCAGGCTGCCACTCTCCAGGCTTCCAAGACAAGCCAGAGGGCCAGATACCAAATATCAGGAACTACTTGCTTTTCTTTTTCTTAAATTTGAGACGGAGTCTGGCTCTGTTGCCCAGGCTGGAGCTCAGTGGCGCCATCTCGTCTCACTGCAACCTTCACCTCCTGGGTTCAAGCAATTCTCCTGCCTCAACCTCTCTAGTAGCTGGGATTACAGACGCCCATCACCACGCTTGGCTAATTTTTGTATTTTTAGTAGAGGCGTGGTTTTGCCATGTTGGCCAGGATGGTCTCAAACTTCTGACCTCAAATGATCCACCCACCTCAGCCTCCCAAAATGCTGGGACCGCAAGCATCAGCCTGTGTGCCCAGCCTTGTTTTTTTCTTTTTTCGTTTTTTGAGACGGAGTCTCACTCTATTGCCCAGGCTGGAGTGCAGTGGTGCAATCTCAGCTCACTGCAACCATCGCCTCCCAGGTTCAAGCGATTCTCCTGCCTCAGCCTCCTGAGTAGCTGGGATTACAAGCATGCACCACCACGCCCAGCTAATTTTTGTATTTTCAGTAGAGACGGGGTTTCACCTTGTTGGTCAGGGTGGTCTTCAACTCTCAACTTCAGGTTATCTGCCCATCTCAGCCTTTTTTTTTTTTTTTTTTTTTTTAGAGACAGGGTCTCACTTCACTCTGTCACCCAGGCTGCAGTGCAGTGGCATGACCATAGCTCAATGAAGCCTGGAACTCATGGCTGTGTAGCTGGGCCTCCAGATGTAGACCACCATGCCAGCTTACTTATTTTTATTCTTTGTAGAGATAGAGTCTTGCTTTGTTGCCCAGGATGGTCCTAAACTCCTAGCCCCAAGCAGTCTTCCTGCCTCGAGAAATCACTTCTCAACGTGTAAGATGCCACAGGCCAAGTCAAGCACAGCAGGCTGCACTACAGAATGCACTACTGGCCCAGCGGGGACCCTCAATGAGCGGTGTGCCCACTGTCCCGAGCCCAACCATCTGGTCTGTGAAAAGAAGAATGAGCCTGGGGACACTAAGAGCCTCTGATTCCACATCCACAAAACAGGGACGGGAACTGCTCCCCCAGCAGAGGGTACCTGAAAAACGGCTACCACCATCTGGCTCCCAGCCAGCACTCGTAGGTGGAAGCTCTTTATGGGGGTGTCCAGTCTTTTGTGAAGTTCAATTTCATGTCCTGAAGCTGGGGGTGGGAGGGCTCAAGCCACTACCACGAAGTCTCAGTCCAGAGCCAGTCTCCTTGCCATCCTTACCCCGGTCCCTGTGGCTAGGGAGTCCTCCCTCACCAGCTCCTGCTCTAGAGTCTTAAAGACAGGAGGGTCCTCCCTCACCGGGAAGGCCACACTACAAAGCCAACCAGGCCCCATGGTCAAGGGGGAAAGTGGTGCTGGGAGGGCCCGGGGCTGTGCCTCAGTGCTCTAAGTAGACTCAGCATGCTCCAGGGCGTTTCCCAGCCATGCTGTGCCTTGGCCCAGGGGTTGCCTGACCCCGAGCAATGCTACATCTGAGGCCTCCCAGGAGCCAGGTACCTGACACTTCTGACCTCCCCTTTCCTTACAAAAGCCTTGTTCTTTCCAGGATGACAAAACGCTGACACTCAGCTAGCTGAACCTGTTCAAGGACAGGAAACATGACATTCTCCGTACCTCACTCCCCTGCACCTGCAGGAAAATAGGGATCTATACTACAGAGAACCCAAATCACCAAAGCTCTGGGAAGAGACGTGAAGACCTGTCACTCCACCTGTCCCGGAGCCACAGAAGACAGGGCTATCTATCACTAACCCAGCATAAGCTCCGCCACAGAATATCCCTTGGGTTCTCCAGAGAGCCACTGAATGGCCACCAGTGAGGAGGCCACCCCATCAGGCCAAGTGTGCCCCATCTGCTCCCACCCCAGGTTCCACTTAATACCTGCTGCTGGCCCCAAGGAGCCACAGGGTGAGGCTGGTCAAACCAAGGGGGTTTGTTTGGCGGGATCTGGTCGTGTGGCCCAGGGCCCCGGGGGCCGGCGGCTGCAGGATCCTGGACCCCTCCTGTGGCTTCATACTCTGAAGAGCCGGGCATCTGGATGGGAGGCTTGCTGTCATCTAAGTCAGGTGATAAGCAGTTAGAGCAAGCCTGGCAGCAGCAGGAGAGGCTGTCTTCTCTCCACACTGCCCCAGAGCCAACCAGGCGATGGCTTTCAGTATGCAGTGAATTATCGCTTCAGGACCCCACTACAACCGTGACCATCACTGGCCTCCAGGAAGGGGATGGGGAGAGGGGAAGTTCTGACCTTAAAACATGACACCCATGTGCCCCTTTCACAGCTTTACCATAAACATGCCTCACTTATGCCTGCTTGTGTGCTGAGGAATTTCTATTCACACTGAATTTCATTAGACATCTTTTCTGTATCTAACAAAAAGGTCATTTCCCCACAATCTATTACTAGGTTTTCTATCCTATACCATCCTCATATTCCTGGAACAAATCTTCCTCGGTCAGAATTTAATTTGAAAATCAACAGCCGGGCACAGTGGCTCACGTCTGTAATCCCAGCACTTTGGGAGGCCGATGCAGGAACATCACAAAGTTGGGAGCTCAAGACCAGCCTGGTCAATATGGTGAACACAACTCTACTAAAAATACAAAAAATTAGCCAGGTGTGCTGGTAGGCGACTGTAATCCCAGCTACTCGGGAGGCTGAGGCAGAAGAATCGCTTAAACCTGGGAGGCAGAGATTTCAGTGAGCTGAGATCGTGTACAGACTGGGCAACAGAGCAAGACTCTGTCTCAAAAAAAATAAAAATAAAAAAATAAAGAAAATCCTTTGTTAGATCTGCTAAGATTTTCTTCAGTATTTGTGTGTCTTTTTTAGAAGTAACACTAGATTATATTTTCTTTTTGAGACAGAGTCTTGCTTTGTCACCCAGGCTGGAGTACAGTGCTTTAACTATGGCTCACTGCAGCCTGATTTCACTGGCTCAAGGGATCCTCCCACCTCACCTCCAAGTAGCGGGGACGACAGGCGAGCACCATTTTTGTATTTTTAGTAGAGACGGGGGTTTCACCATTACCCAGGCTGGTCTCACACTCCTGGGCTCAAACAATCTGCCTGCCTCAGCCTCCCAAAGTGCTGGGATTACAAATGTGAGCCACTGTACCCGGCCGATTGGATTTTCAATCCGTGCACTGTCCCTCTGTCTGACACAATAGTTACCCTTGTGTAATAGTCCTGTGAATGATCTGGGTACCCTTTCTCTATTCTGTGCTCTGGGAACAGGAAACAGATCTTCTGCTGTTCAGGAATGGGGCAGTTGGAGTTTTACTCTAAAGTCACCTGGCTAGTGCTTGTAAATGGATGAAAGCCTCCACCTAGGAACAGGTGGGGACAGTGGAGGGTGGCAGGGTGCTTTCTGACTACACTCAAGAGCCCAGCCTCTGGGGGCTGTCTCCTGGGGGTGGGGACTGAGGGAGTCCCGTACCAGGCTGGGTGGTAGGTGGGATGGCAGGGGCAGGTGCTGGGGCCGGGGGTGGGGCAGGCGGCGGGGGCGTGGCCTTGACTTCAGCCTCCATCTGCGGCATCTGGAGTTGCTGCTGTTGCTGCTGCTGCTGCTGCTGCTGCTGCTGTGCCAAGCTGGTGACGAACTCCTCGTGCTGCGTCTTCAGGGTCTGGATCTGCTGCTGGAATGCCAGCTGTACTGGCTGGACCACTGACGAGTACTCGTTGATGAGGGTGGCCTGGGAGAAAGAAGAGTACCCGCTGCTCAGGACGCAGCCTTGGGGCTCGCTGCCTGGCACCAGAGGACAAAGGCCCGGAAGACGGCAGAGACTGGGGACCTGGGACAGGCGGACAGGGAACTGCTGCATAAAATGACTAACACAGTCGGGACAATCAGTGTGCATTGGGATCTGGCCAGAGATTTGGGGACGAGGATATTCACTGCAGCATGGTTTACGACTCCCCGATAACCCGAATGAGCAATGACAGCCGTGTCCTGGCCACCACGTGGCTGCTAAGCACACGCTACCCACCAACGTTCTAGGACACGCTCATAGGCTCTGCCTGCCACTCGCCATGTGGCTCTCAGCAAGAGGGGCTGCCGCATCCTAGGCCACTCCTGGGCTTCCTCATGCAGGAACATGCTGACCACCAGAGCAAATGGGCCACGTGCAGTGACTCCGAAAAGTGTGCCAGCAAAGTCAGGGAGACACACCTAAGGCATGGGGCTGGGAAATGTCACCTGGGACTCTGGTCACCATCCACTGGCTACTCCCAGCACAGGCAGGGGACACAGGCTTTCTGGCTTCTGGGACCTGCTGGGGTGGCAGCTGCCGTCCCCACACTCGCAAGCCCTCCTGGGGCACCTTCCCCAGCTCTAGGGTGAGGCATGGGCGGCCAGCTGACACTCACCTGATACTGGCCAAGCCCCAGGGCTGGGCTCTGTAGCTGCTGAATGATGGAGTCATCAAAGTAGCCATTTTTCTCCCAGAGCTGCAGGAGCTGAAGGTGGGAGGGGGAGACGCTGGGTCAGCGGGGAAGAGGGAGGCCTGCGTGTACTGGTCCCATCCATCCACCCCTGGCCCAGGGCCCACGCACCCGGGCTATCTTCTGCTGCTTGTCTTCCTCCACGGCCAGGAAGCTGGTGCAGTAGATGGGCACTACGACCTTCTGCAGGGCGGCCAGCAGCTCCCGGGCCTGCTTGCGCTGGCTGTGAGGGAGAGACTTTCCGCGCGTCAGGGCCCTGGGGCGGGACCCGGCCACGCGCCCGTTACCATCACGGCTCCAGCCTCAGCGCCCTCTGCCTTCTCGGGAATCGGGCCCCCAACCCGGCGGGGGCGATGGCTGGGCTCCCAGGAGAGCTGTGCTGGTGCCTGGGCTCAAGGAAGGGACAGACAGAGAACAGCAAGCGGGGGAGGGGAAAATGTGGCTTGGGGCCATTGCGAGCAGAGCCTTTCAGTCCTGTCCCCTTGTTAGGAAATAATCTTCCCTCTTTCCCTCATGGGCGCTGTGGATGAAGGGACTTGGGGCCTGAGAGAGCCCCTGCCTGTGTGCAATGGGCAGGACGGGGCTGCTGCAGAGTTGGGGTCTTCTCCTCGTTATTTGCTAGGCACAAGGAAACCCTGGTCCAGGCCAGGCCTCTGGGAGGAGTAGCGAGGAAGCCCAGTCCCTCAGACACCTAGAACGCTTTAGAAGAGTGGCTGGATGCCCTACGGGCAAGGTACCAGGCCCATGTCCTCTCAGATCCCCTGTGCAGCGCTGCACGGGATACTGTGCATACTTGGCCTGTGAGGCCCCTGCAGCTATGCAGGGAGGTGGCTGCCCCCAGGGAGGGATGTGGGACAGGAGGGGAGCAGCTGGAAGCCCCTCAACCCCAGCTGGCTGCAGGGAGCTCAGGGAGCAAGGGCCTGGGCCGGGCAGCTGGGAGGACGGGTGAGCAGCACTTGGCTTCAGACAGAGTGGAGCTAGAGAAGCATTTGGCTGGAGAATGCGGGAAACCGCACGTCTGTGCCAGGCGCCCGACTCAAGAGGCAGGGAGAAGCGGAGGCAGGAGAAGGGACAGAAGGGCAGAAGCGGTGCGGAGCCACAACTCACTTCACAGCAGGAGAGAAATGGGACCGAGGCGGGGAGCGAAGACGCACTCAGGCAGTGCTGCATGTGGCAGACGGGGCAAGATGGCTGCTCAGGGAAGACGAAGCTGGGAACCGGGTCCCTAACCAAGCCACCTGGCAGCCTGGCCCAATGCAGAAGCACACGAGGTGCCCAGCCAAGAATGCTCCCCATTAGGCTCACTAGCAATGCTTGTCTCCTCTTGGCCAAAGGCCCGGGCTTCCATTTTTTTTTTCTTTGTGCTAACCTTTGTGAGAAGGGCCTCAGTGGCCCTGCAGAAGAAACACCTGCCCAGCCTGGGGGAGGGTGGAGACAGCCACAGCAGGAAGGGGTGGGGGCTGGGTGGGGACAGAGCGTCAGCCTGAGTCAGGGCTGGAGATGGGGACCCCACAGGAGGATCCCGATGGCTGAGCAAAGTCAGGTGACCGTGTGCGTGCGCGTGCAAATCAGTGACGGGGCCAGAGACAGGCTAAAAAGGCCGTGGCCGAGAAGGCAACAAGCAGATGCCAAGAAGCTGCTCCAGGAGAGCAAGGAGCACAGGAACGGTGGCCTCGAGGAGACAGTAATGTGACAAGTGAGGATGGGGCCTAGGGGAGAGGACAGGGCATGTGGCAAAAGTGCATGGGCTGCCTAGACCAACTGAGTCCTGCAGACAGAAGCCTGGTGGCTCAGAGGCCCCACCTGGCCTTTCTGGACAAGTGCCCCCCAGTCTTGGGACAGGCCAAGCCAAGCTACTGATTGGAGCAAGCGGCCACCCACGTGGGGGCAAGGAGGAGCTCGCGGCAGTGGGCACGGGGCGGCGGTGCTCACCAGTGGTGCAGCACGTCGTTGATCAGGTAGATGAGGTGCAGCCGCAGCTCGAAGTGTGCCCCGTCAGCTGTGATGCGGTTCCGGAGGTGGCCGGCCATCAGCTCGCAGTGCGGCGGGGACTTGGCATTGCTGAACATCCAGTTCTTCCCAGCCTGCAACCCCCGAGCCGACGAGTGAGCAGGGCTACACTCCCCCAGGTACCCGCTGCACCCAAGTGCATCACCATCAGCCCAGGGAAGGGCACACGGTGAAGGTGGGGGGCACAGGGTCCCAAAGCCTCAGGAGGTGCTCAAGGCGGGAGGGAAAGGCACCCACTGGAGCAGCCCTTAGCCCGGACTGGCTTCAGGGTGCCCTGCCTCAGGGAGGGACCAGTGGGATGCAGGGCTCTGGAACCCCTGCCCTCACCGAGATGGCGTCCTTGGTGCACGTGTCGATGATGGGCTGCAGCAGGTTGTCAAACTCGTTCATGTCCAGCTGGGTCTCCTCCAGGAGCTTCTGCATCTGCTGCTCCACCGCGTGGGCCACGGCTGCTGTCACTTGCTCCTGGGGGGGTCAGTAGGGTCGAGAGCACAAGAGGATGGACCCACAGCCTGAGCCTCCTTGCCTGGCCCAGCAGGGGTGGGACGGGGACATGGTGGGGATGCCTGTACGCTGGGCCGCGCTGGCCAATGGCTCCCTTGCTTGCCCCCAACATGAGGAGATTCTCTCTCATGCCCGCATGAGTCTGTGACAGTCCCTCCTGGAGTAGGCAGGCCACTGCCAGGACACACCAGGAGACAATGCCTGCTCTCCAGACAACCGAGGAAAACACTGCAGCCCAGAGGAACAAACCACCTCTGCAAACCAACTCAACAAAAAACAGAAAGGCAGGTGCAGTGGCTCACGCCTGGAATCCCAGCATGTTGGGAGGCTGAGGTGGGAGGACCACTTCAGCCCAGGAGTTCCAGACCAGCTGGGCAACGTAGCGAGACCTTAGCTCTATAAAAAATAATAATACAAGGCTGGGCGCGGTGGCTCACGCCTGTAATCCCAGCACTTTGGGAGGCAGAGGCGGGTGGATCACGAGGTCAAGAGATCAAGACCATCTCGGTCACATGCTGAAACCCCGTCTCTACTAAAAATACAAAAAATTAGCTGGGCATGGTGGCGCGTGCCTGTAATCCCAGCTACTCAGAGGAGACTGAGGCAGGAGAATTGCCTGAACCCGGGAGGCGGAGGTTGCGGTGAGCCGAGATCGCGCCATTGCACTCCAGCCTGGGTAACAAGAGCGAAACTCCTGTCTCAAAAAAAAAAAAAAAAAAAAAAAACCAAATTAGTCCAGCATAGTAGTATGTGCCTGTTTCCAACTACTTGGGAGGCTGCGGTGGGAGCATCACTGGAGCCCAGGAGTTCAAGGTTACAGTGAGCTGTGATTGTGCTACTGCACTCCAGCCTGAGTGAGAGCAAGACCTTGTCTCTAACAAAACAAAAACAAAAAACAAGAAAAATGAGGGATGGTGTGAAGAGGCAGTAGGGAGGACACACCCATGGCCTCTAGTAAAGCAAGAAGGGGCAATCTCACACCTCATCGGGAAATGCAGGTTCAAGTGTGACTGGTAAAAATGGAGCTGCTGTGAGTACCAGTGGTTAAGCTGAGGGCTGGTCAGACCAACCTCCCAGTCCATGATGAGCTCTAGGCAGAAGTTGAGGGTGAGCATTCTGGAACTTTCTTTTTTCTCCTCTTCTGAGGTGGAGTGTTACTCTGTCACTCAGCCTGGAGTGCAGGGGCACAATCATGGCTCTCTGTAACCTCCACCTCTTGGGTTCAAGCAATTCTCCAAAGTAGCTGGGACTACAGGCACCCACCACTGCACCCGGCTAATTTTTGTACTTTTAGTAGAGATGGGGTTTCAACATATTGGCCAGGCTGGTGCTGAACTCCTGAACTTGTGATTCGCCCACCTCAGCCTCCCAAAGTGCTGGCATTACAGGTGTGAGCCACTTCGCCCAGCTGGAACTTACTGAGAGCAATATTTCAGTGTGATTTTACGCCCTGAACCTCGTACTAAGTGCAGGGCTGGCACTTTGGAGGTTTGCTATGTTTTTTTCCCCCCAAGACTGAGTCTTGCTTTGTCACCCAGGCTGAAGTGCAGTGGTGCGATCTCAGCTCACTGCAACCTCTGCCTCTGAGTTCAAGCGATTCTCCAGCCTCAGTCTCCCGAGTAGCTGGAATTACAGGCATGTGCCATCGCGCCCAGCTAATTTTTGTATTCTTAGTAGAGATGGGGTTTTGCCATTTTGGCCAAGCTGGTCTCGAACTCCTGACCTCAGGTGATCTGCCTGCCTTGGCCTCTGAAAGTGCTGGAATTAAAGGTGTGAGCCACCATGCCCAGCCAATGCACCTGTATTCTATTTGGCAAAAATTGTTGCACCAGGAGAAAAGGGTCTTTCTGGCTGGATGGATCACCTGAGGTCAGGAGTTTGAGACCAGCCTGGCCAACACGGTGAAAACCCACCTCTACTAAAAATAGAAAAATTAGCCAAGTGTGGTGGTGCACACCTGTAATCCCAACTACTCAGGAGGCTGAGGCAGGAGAATTGCTTGACCCCAGGAGATGGAGGCTGCAGTGAGCTGAGACGGCGCCAGTGCACTCCAGCCTGGGTGACAGAACAAGACTCCATCTTAAAAAAAAATAAAAAAGGGTCCTTCCCCAACCAACAACTCCAGGTGACGACCTAGTTACTGCGTGGTGGGACCAATGGCAGGCACTGGAGGCCATCTGGCCAAAGCCGTCAGGGAGCTTCAAGGTGCGCACGTGACCCACAGTCCCACTCAGAGGCACCCATCCCAGGGTGATGGGTGCACGCAGGTCCAGTGGCTTCACTGAGATGAGAAACAGCCTCTGTGTCTGGTGTCAGGGCTCGGGGTGACAGTGGCTGGCACACACCTAGTCCTGCGTGACCAGGTGGGCCCCATCCTCAGTGGCACCTGTTATTCATTCCCATGGGCACACAGAAAAAGAGGCACAGGGGAGTGGTGGGTGCCTGGCTGAATGGGGGGCAGGCCTGTACCTGTCTCAGCGCCAGCAGGTGCTGCTCCTGCTGCTGGAGGTTCCACTGGCTCTGCTGGATGAGCTCGTCCATGGACGGTGCGCCCTGGGCGGGCGGGATGGGCGCAGCAGGGGCCAGTGGGGGCTGCGGCAGGGGCGGCATGGTGGCAGCTGGCTCCAGCTCCGGGGTCTGCTGCTTGCAGATGACTGGAGGGAGAGGAGGAGGGGGCCCCCATGAGGACATGGATGGGGGTCCAGGTGTCCCCTTGGCCACCTCTTAGCCACAGGGCCCCCCACTCCCCAGGGACTCACCATCCATGAGGGCTTGTGCACAGCCAGGTGCCCACGCAGGCCCAGCTCCTCTCTCTTAGACCTGGCCATCCCCTCACAGGACCCCAGCCCTGGCCTTCCACCTTTGGGTTGTCCCCTCCTCGGGGAACCTAGAAAGTCCCTTAGCCCCTCTTTTGCCAGCACCGTCCAGTCCTTCCCCAGTGTCCTTCCGGTGCAAGCTAAGCCTGAGCCTGCCCACCTCCTTACCCGCCAAGGCCCCACCTGATGCCAGCCTCAGCACCTCTCAGTCCCGACCACCTTGGCCACTTGCTGACCTCTGCCACTGTCCCCCAATCCACCCACTGACTGTCATGACATCGCAGCCACCAGGCCTCTGCACATCGGCCAGAAAGCCACAAAGCTGCACCCTGAGTGCACGTTGCACCCCACCCCCCGCACCTGCCCTACCCTGCTTCTACTGACTTTTTTTTTTTTTTTAAAGAGACGGGGTCTTGCTATGTTGCCCACACTGGAGTACAGTGGCTGTTCACAGGTGTGATACCACTACTGATCAGCATGGGAGTTTTGACCTGCTCCGTTTCTGACCTGGGCTGGTTCACCCCTCCTTAGGCAACCTGGTTTCCCGCTCCCGGGAGGTTACCTTATTAATGCCGAACTTAGGGGGGACACCTGATCCGCATAGCCCACTACAGCCCAGAACTCCTGGACTCAAGACATCCTCCAGCCTCAGCCACCCGAGTAGCTGGGACTACAGGCATGCGCCACCGCATCTGGCCCTTCTACTGACTCTCTTTCCTTTTCCAGCCTTTGGGTGACCCTCAGCATTCAAGGCTGCATCCAGTTGGAGGCAGCAGTGAGAGACACCCATTCTGCCAGCAGGAGCCTGGGTCACGGTGGGTGCAGATCCCAACTCCAGCCAGATGGGGCGGGTGGTGAGGTCTCTAAAGAAGGGACCCTCCTCATAAGGAAGCCCTGGACAAGATGCCCCGCCTCCCTCTCTGTCTTGGGGCTGCACGGTCTGAATGTGACCATGTACCCCTGGCGCCCTCCTGAGCCTCTTGGACAAAGCCAAAGATAAGGGAGGTGGGGCAGAGGGTGGAAGGTGTCGCCCACAGCCCCTCACTGGGCGCTCAAGTCAAGTCTTAGGGCTATGCCGTCCAGTTTGCGCACGCATGAGCGCCCTACAGGATGAACCCTGACTTTTTTTTTTTTTTTTTTTTTTTTGAGTCTCGCTCTGTTGCCCAGGCTGGAGTGCAGTGGCTCAGTCTCAGCTCACTGCCACCTCTGCCTCCTGGGTTCAAGCGATTCTCCTGCCTCAGCCTCCCAAGAGGAGGCTGTGCCACCATGAAACCCCATCTCTACTAAAAATACAAAAATCAGCCAGGCATGTGCTGCCACACCTGGCTAATTTTTGTATTTTTAGTAGAGATGGGGTTTCCCCATGTTGGCCAGGCTGGTCTCAAACTTCTCCTGACCTTGTGATCTGCCCACCTTGGCCTCGGAAGTGCTGGGATTACAAGTGTGAGCTACTGCACCCTGCTGACCCGACTTCTGCACTGAATCCCACCCCACCCATTGCACCGGGGACGCTGCTTCAGGGCATTTCTTCTCTCTTTTTTCCAACTTCCTCCCTCTTTACAGACCTTTTGCCAGGCATGATGGCTCACGCCTGTAATCCCAGCACTTTGGGAGGCTGAGGCGGGTGGATCACCTGAGGTCAGGAGTTCAAGACCAGTTTGGCCAACATGGTGAAACCCTGTCTCTATACTAAGGCGGCAAAAAATCAGGCAGGTGTGGTGGTGGGTGCCGGTAATCCCAGCTACTTGAGAGGCTGAGGCAAGAGAATCACTTGAGCCCAGAAGGTGGAGGTTGCAGTGAGCTGAGATGGCGCCACTGCACTTCAGCCTGGGTGACAGAGTGAGAGACTCTGTCTCAAACACACACACACGCACGTCAGAATATTCTGGGTTGAAACCTCTCCCTTCACCCCATGACCCTCTCTAAATGACTTCTCAGCCAAGATTTACTCTAGATCTTCACCTCCCCTTTATCTCAGCCTGGCACCTGCCTGCCACTCCCCGCCCCAGGCAGCTGAGGACACCCTCACAAGCCCCTGCCGCTGGGCCTTGTTTCCACTGGCCTCTATGTGGACGCCCCTCAGTCCCTTCCTCCTCCTCCTTTACCAACCTCTCTCCTGTCGGACCTTTAGATGCTGGGGTACACAGCCATGTGTTCCAAGCCCGTCCTCTGCTCTATGCAACCCCCAGGGGGATATGAGCTAGTCACTCCTGCGGCTGCGACTGCCACCTGCATGGCCTGATTCCTAAATCCATCATCTCCATTCCGGATTCTGCAAACTCTGTCCCGCTGGGTTTCCACAGGGCCTGTGCTTCCTCTTGCCCCATGCACCGATGTCCCTTTCTGTGCTCCCCACACCACGGCTGGCACCACCACCCACCCAGAAATCCAGGCCAGAAGGCGCCATGTGTCTCCCACTGATGAGCCACAAGGTGTGAAGACAGCGTCCTAGACCATGCTCCACTCAGTCTGTGTCACTGCTGCCACCACCACAGCTCTGCTGTCACCCACATCACCCCAGAACCAGTCTTCCTGCGTCATGTCCCACCCCTCTACCTCTTTTCCACAAGGCATTCACAGTACTGCCACTTAAGGAATGGTCTCTGGGCGACCCGGAGGTGACAGTTGGTTACGGAACCAGCAAGTGAGTATTTCCAACCCTTTCTAGCAATGTGACGGTTCACGGTCCACATTGTTACTGTGCTTTGCAAAAGTTTTGGTCAAGGACAGGTTAGAAACTTAAAAAAAAAACAAAACCCCAAAACTGGTCCTTCACCACAGAGTTCGAGAAGCTCCATTCTAGAAGAGCTGAAGCCCAGTCTTCAAGGAGCGGGGTGCAGGGCTGCCTGTGCTGTAGCTAACCCAGCCTCAGAACACGGACCAAAACCCTCCACGCGTCTCCCCCACGCTTCCAGGATACACTCCCAACTCCCTCACAAGCAAAACCCCCAACTCCTCCCCAAGCCAAGCCCCCGACTCTGTACCCTCACCTCTAGCGACTCCAAGAACCCCTTCTACTCTGGGCTTTAGCCACCTTGAGCTCTGGGTTCCTCATTCCCTCCAGGGGCTCCTTCCTCAGCCTGAAACCCTTTCTCTCTTCGTTTTCACTTGGCCAACCCCAACATACCCTTCAGAAGTAGCCAAGATATCATCACCACCAGAAAGCACTTCCTGGCCTCAGTCTTCTGGGCTATAAGCACCGTCTCCTTCCCTATAATGGCACCAACTTTCAAGTGGCCCCGATTTTTGACCTCCAGTGTGGGAAGGGTGGAAGTGCCCCCCGCAGAAAGGGAAAGCAGCCCTCGGCTCACAGTCATCCAAGCCAAAGTCTGATCTGAGGTGCCTTCCTCCCCTGCTCATCGTGCCATCAGGTCATCAATATCCACCTGGTGCCCAAGTTCAGGGATTCTACCCCTTCACCCGACCTGTTCGCCATGCTCACTCCCTCAGACTCAACCCTCTGACTTAATTCAGACCCTACCATGTCTCATCTGAGCAACTGCCCTGTTCCTTCCCCTGCAGGCCTCACTGGTCCCCAGGCTGGCCCCTTTAGCCTGTTCTCCACCACTGGCCACACAAACCCAATCCACTCCCTCCCTTGCTTAAAACTCTTTTGTGGCTTCCTGATGCCTTTAGAAATGGTTTTAAACTTGCTGTGCTGGGGCTAAGGAAGGACTGCACTAGAGACACACAGCACAAACAAGATTTTGCTTACAATTTCAGGCAGCTCATCTCCCCCTGCTCACCCCACCCCAAATCTCAAACCTAAACACGCATCAGAAAACCTCCTGGATTGAGTGAGAAAACCCAAACTTTCCCCTGGCACTTAACACTCCAGATCAAACTCTTCCCCCACACAATCACATTCTTTTCTTTTTTTTTTTTTTCTTTTTGAGATAAGAGTCTCACTCTGTCGCCCAGGCGTGAGTGCAGTGGCACAACCTCTGCCTCCCAGGTTCAAGCAATTCTCCTGTCTCAGCCTCCTGAGTAGTTAGGACTACAGGCTACCACCACCATGCCCAGCTAATTTCTGTATTTTTAGTAGAGACGAGGTTTTACTGTGTTTGTACAAGACACTGCACCTGTGTAATGTCCTACTTTGTCAGCCTTTCAAGCCTTTTTTTTTTTTTTTTTTGATGGAGCCTCCCTCTGTCTCCCAGGCTGGAGTGCTAAGGCACAATCTTAGCTCACTGCAACCTCCGCCTCCAAGGTCCAATCCATTCTCCAGCCTCCTAAGTATCTGGGACTACAGGTGCCCACCACCATGCCCAGCTAATCTTTTTTTTTTTTTTTTTTTTTGTATTTTTAGTAAAGACAGGGTTTCAGCATGTTGGCGAAGCTGGTCTTGAACTCCTGATCTCAAGTAATCTGCCCGCCTCGGCCTCCCAAAGTACTGGGATTACAGGCGTGAGCCACTGCACCTGGCCTCCTTTCAAGCTTTTTAATCGAACACCGACTATGTGTTACGTATTTAAGCACAATGACCTACAGACAAAGGTCTGTTTGGCCTCGGGGAGCATGTAGTTCAGGGGACAACCACCTCTCAACGTTCTTCTACCTGGCAAACTCCTACTATTCATTTAAACAATGTATCTAAAGACTGGGGGTTGGGTACTGAACATGACAGATGTGATACCTGTCCTGAGCAGCCACAACACCTGGTGACTATCCATTATTCAAAGGCCAGCTCTGCTTCCTAACCTCACCCTAACCTTTTTGAGAGAAGGACTGGAATCCTGTAGCCCAACTGAACGAACATTGATAAACACTTGCCAAGAACTAAAACTCAGAGGGATAATTCTTTTGGATTTGTGCTGCAGGAATCTGAAATGCACAAAAGCCTTGCTGGACCCACAGAGAGCCCGCAAAGGTGGGTGGACAGTGCCTGCCTGTCCCATGGGTTCCCAACCGGCCTCTATTCTTTCCTCCCTAGAAAACACTCCAATAATCCCGCTACTCCTGCTGATCGCAGTCCTCAGTCTGCAAAGCAACAGCAACATCCCTGATCCAGAGCCCAGGAGGATCGATAACCTCGTTGTTCTCCATTACAGTCGGACCCGGCAGCCGCTCTGTGCAAGGCCGTGGGAACAGCGGAACAGGAATCGTGGGGACCGAGCTGCTCCACTTCAGAGAGAGTAAACGACCCGAACGAAAGAAGAGGTTTGTGGCAGAGCCCGGACTGGAATCCGAGAAAGGAAGCGCTCGATGAGGCGGCCTGAGTGCCGGAAGAAACTTACGCTGCTGCTGCTCCAGCGCCAGCTTGCACTTGTAGTAACTGTAGAACTCGCCTCCGAACAGAAACGAGAATTTGGGGTTGTCCTTCTGCTTCTCCATCGTCATCTTCTCAAACTCGGGCCCATTGCGAGCCACGAACTGGGCGAGCTTGTCGATGACATTTCGAAGCTCCTGGTCTGGAGGACGGAGAAAAGGCCACGCGGGGCGGCGTGAGCGAGGAATGCCCAAGGCCAGGGACCCTAGCGCCCCAGCCCCGGTCCGCCGTGCCTGGGACCCCGAGGGTGGGTCCCGAAGAGGCCGCCCGTGTACGGGTCCCGATAGGGACCACACGCTCGCCGGGAATGCGGGGACCCACGGGTGAGGCCGCAGGCTAAGCCGCGAGCCCGAGCCCCGCCCCCTCCCAGACCCGGGGACCCTGGGAGGCGGGACCGGCCAACAGGAGGTTCCAGGGAGAGAGAAACGGTCTCTCAGCCGGTCTGCGTCTCACCATCGGGGGGCAGCGGCATCTCCATGGCTCCGGCCGCGGGGAACGTCCTCCGCGCCTCACGATCGACCACCAGCGCCGTCTGCGGAAGCCGGCCGGAAGTGGCGCGAGAGAGCCGTTTACAGCGGGCTTCTAAGGCTGCTTCCGCTCGCCACTTACGGCCGTCGCTGGGAAACTCCGGAAGTGAGAGCAGGAGACAGGCGGGAAGACGCTGCGGGAGGCCGGGCTAGCGAGGCGCACGCGTAGAGGTTTTCTGGCGCATGCGCAGAGTAGGCCGCGTCGCGAAAAGCTGCGGCTGGGCTGGAACGGCGCGGATGATTTTTAGCCGATAGATGGGGGCGAGGGGCCGTTCCCGCCGGTCCGCTTCGCAGCCCTACGGGCTGGCCGGTTGCTACCTCCGGGGGACGCGGGTACAGTGAGGAGCCTACGAGGTGAGGTGCCTCCGGTGGATCCCGGGCTGCGGCGACTGTTACCTCCTCCCCTGCCGGCCCGGAGGTGGAGCAGAACTGGGAGGCGACGAGCTTGATAAGGATTGCAAGTGGACTTACTTAGGTTCAGAACATCCTCCTCCTCGCTTTCTTCCGCTCCACTCTTTGGTCAGGAAGACTTTGGGGCGGGGTAGCCCCAACCCATACCCTCAGATTACTGGCCCAGAGGCCACAGCGCCTTTCTTTCTTTCTTTTTTTTTTTTTTTTGGAGACGGAGTTTCGCTCTTGGTACCCAGGCTGGAGTGCAATGGCGCGATCTCGGCTCACCGCAACCTCCGCCTCCTGGGTTCAGGCAGTTCTCCTGCCTCAGCCTCCTGAGTAGCTGGGATTACAGGCACGCGCCACCATGCCCAGCTAGTTTTTTATATTTTTAGTAGAGACTGGGTTTCACCATGTTGGCCAGGATGGTCTCGATCTCTCGACCTCGTGATCCAGCCTCCTCGGCCTCCCAAAGTGCTGGGATTATAGGCGTGAGCCACCGCGCCCGGCCCGTACAGCGCCTTTCTAAAAGATGCAGTTGCGTTGTTACTAAAATGATGAAGCCAACTCTTGCTAATTGTGGGGAAAGATAGCCAAAAGCAGCAAACTTCTGCTGTGGACGTCCGTTATAACGGATCCTTTTGAGATGGTTAATGCTTGGTTGGCTATACCTCTTTTTTTTTTTTTTCTTTTCTCTTTTTTTATTCTTGAGACAAGGTCTCGTTCTGTGGCTCAGGCTGGAGTGCAGTGGCATGATCGTAGCTCACTAGCTCTGATCTCTTAAGTAATCCTCCCGCCTCGGCCTCCCAAAGTGCCAGGATTATAGACGTGAGCCACTGTACCACTGTACCCAGCCTGTTTTTTCTGTGCAAATACATGCACATGTAATTTAGATTCTTTTCACTTTTATTACGGCATTTTTCCACCAGACACTTACGGATTGCCTGCTCTACATCAAGTGTTGCTGTAGGTCAGGAATCAACAAACTATGTATAAAAAGGATAGAAAGGAAATATTTTAGGCTCTGCAGGCCAGGAGGCAAGATCAAGGGTTTTTTTTTTAAATGTCCTCTGGTTCATATTTTCTCATGAAGATGGAGGATGTTATTTATTTGTTTTTTTTTTTTTTTTTTTTTAGACAGAGTCTTGCGCTCTTGCCCAAAATGGAGTGCAGTGGTGTGATATCAGCTCACTGCAACTTCCACCTCCCGTGCTCAAGCAATTCTCCTGCCTCAGCCTCCAGGGGAGATGGGACTACAGGTGTGCACTACCACACCCGGCTTTTTTTTTTTTTTTTCTTCTTGAGATTGAGTGTCGCTCTTGTTACCCAGGCTGGAGTGCAATGGCTCGATCTCGGCTCACCTCAACCTCCGCCTCCTGGGTTCAGGCAATTCTCCTGCCTCAGCCTCCTGAGTAGCTGGGATTACAGGCATGCGCCACCACGCCCTGCTAGATTTTTGTATTTTTAGTAGAGACGGGGTTTCACCATGTTGACCAGGATGGTCTCGATCTCTCGACCTCGTGATCCACCCGCCTCGGCCTCCCAAAGTGCTGGGATTACAGGCATGAGCCACCGCGCCCGGCCCTTATTTTTGTATTTTCAGTACAGACGGAGTTTGACGGTGGTGTCTTGAACTCCTGATCTCACATCATCTACCCGCCTCAGCCTCCCAACGTGCTGGGATTACAGGGGTGAGCCATCTGTGTCCAGCTACATCAAAAAATCTTAATTTTAATTTGGGATCTCCAATAGACAGATTTTCAGAGAACCATGAACTAATGAAATTGATAGCTAAATAAATGCCTTTTCTAGGGTTGAAGATACACAGCATTTACAGGATTCTTAATAGGCTTTTCAGCCAGAACAGGTTAATGAGTCAGTGTTGTCATTCTTTCTTTTTTTTTTTTTGAGATGGAGTCTCGCTCTGTTGCCAGGCTGGAGTGCAGTGGCACGATCCCGGCTCACCGCAACCTCCGCCTTCTGGGTTCAAGCGATTCTCCTGCCTCAGCTTCCTGAGTAGCTGGGACTACAGGCATGCGCCACCACACCCAGCTAATTTTTGTATTTTTTATTAGAGTGGGGTTTCACCATGCTGGCCGGGATGGTATTGATCTCTTGACCTTGTGATCTGCTGGTCTCAGCCTCCCAAAGTGCTGGGATTACAGGAGTAAACCACCTCGCCCAGCCATTCTTTTTTTTTTTTTTTGAGACAAAGTCTAGTTCTGTTTCCCAGGCCGGAGTCCAGTGGCACAATCTTGGCTCACTGCAACCTCTGCTTCCCAGGTTCAAGTGATTCACCTGCCTCAGCCTCTCCATTAGCTGGGATTACAGGCATGTGCCACCATGCCCGGCTAATTTTTGTATTTTTAGTAGAGACAGGGTTTCACCATGTTGGCCAGGCAGGTCACGAACTCCTGATCTCAGGTGATCAGCCTCCTAAAGTGCTGTGATTACAAGCGTGAGCCACCATGCCTGGCTGTTACTGTCATTTTTGAGGATGCATAGGATACTGTGTTAAGTTACCATAACTTACTGAAGCGAGACTCTATAGTCTCCTGGCTTGATTTCATTTTTAGGATGCCATTAAAAGTGTCTTAGTGTAGATAGGGTTGGGTGTACGGGCTCACATCTGTCATCCCAGCACTTTCGGAGGCCAAGGCGGGTGTATCACTTCAGTCTGGGAGTGCGAGACCAGCCTGGCCAACATGGAGAAACCCTGTCTCTGCTAAAAAATAGAAAAATTAGCTGGGCACGGTCACTAATCCCAGCTACTGAGGCGGAGACGCGAAAATTGCTTGAGCCAGGAGGTGGAGGTTGCAGTGAGCCGAGATTGCGCCACTGCACTCCAGTCTGGGTGACAGAATGAGACTTCGTCTCAAAAAAAAGTGTCTTAGTAGACATAAATCTAGTGCTGAGTTAAAGGTTGTGCAAATTCAATACTGGTATTGCTCAGCTGCCCTCTAGAAAGGTAGTTATACCCACGGTCACTACTATCATACATTGGTTACAGATTGTTTAAAATGCAGGTTGGCACCGTGGCTCATGCCTGTAATCACAGCACTTTGGCTCCGGCGGGCGGATCACTTAAGTCAGGAGTTCAAGACCAGCCTGGCCAATGTGGTGAAATTCCCATCTCTACTAAAAATATAAAAATTAGTTAGGCGTGGTGGCAGGTGCTTTTAATTCCAGCTACTCAGGAGGCTGAGGCAGGAGAATCGCTTGAACCTGGGAGAGGGGGGTTGCAGTGCCAATGTACTCTAGCCTGGGTGACAGAGCAAGACTTCATCTAAAAAAAGAAGCTGTTTATCTGAGACTGAAAATAAAAAACATCACAGGGGCCTCTCCCAGGCTCATTTCAGAGGGTCAAACCAGAATCCACTGGTCACAGGAAAGCAGTAGAAAGAGCTGGTAGACAGGCTGCTGCAGATACTCTCCAACAAGTAAAGTGGACACCCTGAGTGAGAAAAGCCTAAACTAAGTAGCAGCGTTGGGGCCTGGGTGTACTGAGGTGGGTTCCATGGTCCACATGTCTGCTAGTTGTGATTTCTTGACTTCGAGACTCCTTCCTCAAAATGGCCTTATTCTGGTCAGTGTCAGGTGGTAACTAAAGTTTTGTGGGTTTGAGACAGGGTCTTACTCTGCCACCCAGGCTGGCATGTAGGGGTGCCGTCTCAGCTCACCGCCTCCCAGGTTCAATCGATTTTCCTGCCTCAGCTTCCCAAGTAGCTGGGATAACTGGCGCGTGCCACCACGCCCAGGTAATTTTTCTAATTTTATTGGAGATGGGGTTTTGCCACGTTGGCCAGGCTGGTCTCGCACTCCTGACCTCGAGATCAGCTTGCCTTGGCCTCCCAAACTGTTGGGATTACAGGTGTGAGCCCCACCGCCTCCCCCTAGTCCCCTGTCCCCCGGGTCTTAGCGTTTCCAAGTAGCTCCCATGTGGTACTTAGTTAAACACCTTTCATTTAGGCTGAGTGCGCTGAGGGTAGGAGGCTTACATACCTGTTTCCTGCTGCTTGACACAAGTAAGTCCTTAGTAAATCACTAAACAAAAGGACATAGGCGATAGTTTTAGCAGAAACTCAAACCCTTCGCTGTTTGAAATTCTCTGCTGGAAATGGTTTGAGTCATGGGGAGAAATGGGTTCTGGAGCAGATTTAATTGCTTGAACCTGAAGATCCCCCGTCTCTACTAAAAAATACAAAAGTTAGGGCGTGGTGGCTTACACCTGTAATCACAGCTATTGAGGCTGAGGCAGAATTGCCTGAGCCTGGAAGTGGAGGTTGCAGTGAGCCAAGTCACTGAGCTGTGTAATCCAACGAGTGACTTGACCCCGTTTGGCCTCATTTTCACCTTAAAAACAAGGCAAAGAAAACTCACAAAGGTATCGTGTGTGTAAAGCTCACCACTGGGCTGGGCTTGTATCGGGTACTCAGGCTTGGCTGTCAACACTCAAAAATGCCTTCAGGCTGGGCACATTGGCTCACGTCTGTAATCCCAGCACTTCGGGAGGCCAAGGCAGGCAGATTACTTGAGCCCAGGAGTTCCAGACCAGCCTGGGCAATACAGACGCCCATCACTAAATTTTTTTAAAAAATTAGCTGGGTGTGGTAGTGTGTACCTGTCTCAGGTACTTGGGAGGCTTGAGTTCAGGAGTTTGATGATGTGGAAGCTATGGTTGTGTCCCTGCAGTCCAGCTCAGGTAATAAAATGAGACCGTGTCTCTCAAACCACAAACAAAACGGGCCAGGAGGGCAGAACGCTTGAGGCCAAAAGTTTAAGACCAGCCTGGGCAACATAGTGAAACTCCATCTTTACAAAAAATACATTAGCCACGTATGGTGGCAAGTGCCTGTAGTCCCAGCTACTTGGGAGGCTGAGGTAGGAGGATCCATTGAGTCTGGAAGGCTGTGGCTGCTGAGAGCCTGGATTGCACCTCTGTGCTCAAGCCTGCGCGACAGGAATGAGACCCTGTCTCAAAAAACATGAAACAAACATACAAAAAAATTTTTTTTCATGAGCACGGCTGCCACAGCGTTCCTGGACTTCCCAAGTTACTATGTTCAGTAAAGTCATGTCATTAATTTAGCTGTGATCCTATTTTCACTGTAGGAAATTCACACATCACACATCCTTGTTTTTGGTTCAGAAGAAAAAACAGGTTTCAATAAATCCAGACGTGAGAGCCCAGTTGGCTTGCTCTTTCTCCTTCCACCTGTTGTTGCTGGGCACACTCAAGACAAGGTCACTCCAAAAAAGACCCTTGCTGATAAATTGGGACCAATTTTGATTACCTGGAGACCATCATTTATTTTTGGTAAATGCCAGTAATGAATATACACATCATTCCTGCAGCACTATCTATAGCATTGAAGTCTTGAAAAGAGGTGACAATTGAAAAAAAATTGTCATACTTTCAGATTTTTTTTTTTTTTTTTTTTTTTGAGACGGAGTTTCGCTCTTGTTACCCAGGCTGGAGTGCAATGGCGCGATCTCGGCTCACCGCAACCTCCGCCTCCTGGGTTCAGGCAATTCTCCTGCCTCAGCCTCCTGAGTAGCTGGGATTACAGGCACGCGCCACCACGCCCAGCTGATTTTTAAGAATATTTTTAGTAGAGACGGGGTTTCACCATGTTGACCAGGATGGTCTCGATCTCTGGACCTCGTGATCCACCCGCCTCGGCCTCCCAAAGTGCTGGGATTACAGGCATGAGCCACCGCACCCGGCCTCAGACCCCAACATCTTAAGATCTAACAGCCTGAAGGACATAGACCATTATTAAAAGATCTGAGGCCGGGCGCGGTGGCTCAAGCCTGTAATCCCAGCACTTTGGGAGGCCGTGGCGGGTGGATCATGAGGTCAAGAGATCGAGACCATTCTGGTCAACATGGTGAAATCCTGTCTCTACTAAAAATACAAAAATTAGCTGGGCATGGTGGCGCATGCCTGTAGTCCCAGCTGCTTGGGGGGCTGAGGCAGGAGAATTGCTTGAACCCAGGAGGCGGAGGTTGCAGTGAGCCGAGATTGTGCCATTGCACTCCAGCCTGGGTAACGAGCGAAACTCTGTCTCAAAAAAAAAAAAAATGTTGGGGTCTGGCAGTGTTGCAGCTATAGCAAAGGGCCTACTGGGTGCTGAAGGACAGCTACGCAGCAAAATTCAGAAGCTGCCTCACTTGAACGAATGTGGCTTGTCCCCTTTGTGATAGGGGCTGGATTGTTCCTAGAATGAATGCCTTAAAATAAGGTGCTTAAAAATTCTGTAGTGCGTCTCACCATAGTCAACAAACATGATTCAGAAATGCCGTGGGACGCACCATGCTTCCTTCTATAAAATGAAGGAGTTGGGTTAGAGTCAGTGTTGCCGGCCAGAACATACTCTGGAAGGGTAAAAGAAATTCTCCACCACAGAGCCCAGCAGTGAGGGTGACGGAGGGCTGATGAAAGTGTGGGAGTGGGGCATGAGGCAAGGGCACTGTCTGGCTGTGAAAAAATCAGCCTTCGGCCGGGTGAGGTGGCTCATGCCTGTAATCCCAGCACTTTGGGAGGCCGAGGCGGGTGGATCACGAGGTCAAGAGATCAAGACCATCCTGGTCAACATGGTGAAACCCCGTCTCTACTAAAAATACAAAAAATTAGCTGGGCATGGTGGTGCGTGCCTGTAATCCCAGCTACTCAGGAGGCTGAGGCAGGAGAATTGCCTGAACCCAGGAGGCGGAGGTTGAGGTGAGCCGAGATCGCGCCATTGCACTCCAGCCTGGGTAACAAGAGCGAAACTCCATCTGAAAAAAAAAAACAAAACAAAAAACAAACCAGCCTTCAAGAGGCCAATGTCAGGCCGAGGTGGGCAAATCACTTGAGGCCAGGAGTTCGAGACCAGCCTGGCCAACATGGTGAAACCCTGTCTCTACTAAAAATACAAAAATTAGCCAGGCGTGGTTGTGCCTGCCTATAGACCCAGCTACTCGGGAGGCTGAGGTATGAGAATCACTGGAACCTGGAGGATGGAGGTTGTAGTGAGCTGAGATTGCGCCACTGAACTCCAGCCTGGGGAAGACAGCAAAGCGGGGGTGTGGGGGGGAGGCGGCGGGAAGGGGCGGGAGGAAAGAAAAAAAATAAGAGGCCAATGCCAGCTGTGGACCTCCAAGTCTCGGAAATATGTCTTTGTCTTTTGATCTGCTGACTTGGTGTAATGTGATTGTCCCATTCATTCCAGTGTATGTACTTGCTGTAAATGTATATACAGAATTAAATAGCCCATTTATTAATTTAAAAACCATAATAAAACCAGACAGTCATTTCCTCTCACCAGCAGGTCTTGCATTGGAAAAGGAAAATAATACACAAATTTCAGCAACATCAGAGATTTCATTAAGCCTGGATGGAGGTCGAATTCATTTTGGAGCTCAATGATACGTTCACAGAATCAGGTACTGTAATCGTATAGACAACTTCTGTAATATCACCACAGTGCAAAATCATCCCCGTTTCTTGTCATTCACCAGTGAGAAAAATCCAACTGCAGACTTGACTGCCTTTGGTGAAGGTACACGGCCAGTTCTGACAGCACCCTTCAGGACTGACTCTTCCTGTTCTGTGCAGCCACTGTCTCAGCCTGGGACCAAAGTATTTACAAAGCAAGCGGACAACAGACGCAGGAACAGGGACACTTCTGAGCCCAGTGGTGCGGAAACCCACCGCCCAGCAGGGTCGGGGGACCAGTCACCTCCAGGAGTGTCCTATGTGTCAGCTGACACAACGTCTTAAATACAGAATTCCAACAGAAAGAAAAACCAACAACAAAAAAACAGGAGTCATGTATAAGCGATGTTAATTCCTCTTTGAACAGGGAAACATCTTGCTCACGGGGAGATAAAGGGTGAATGAACCTCTCATTTGCTGCTCTCTCCCCGCCAAGTGCCAGCAAAAAGCTGGGTGTGGTGAGGAAGGAAAAAGGCAGCCATCACCTAGGACCCCATGAGCAAGTCAAGCCGTGGTCCCCTCCGTGAGGGCACAGTCCTTTCATGAAGCCAGAAAAGATTGAGACTACAATTCGGACCTGACCACTCAGACCTACTGGGGTCTTTTCTGCTGAAACCCAAACTGATTCTCCTTTTTTTTTTTGAGACAGAATTAGGTGGGGCGGGGTGGTGCTTGGCTGTCACCAAGGCTGGAGAGCAGTGCCATGATCTCGGCGCACTGAAACCTCCACCTCCTGGGCTCAAGTGATTCTCCTGCCTCAGCCTCTCAGGTAGGTGGGATTACAGGCATGTGCCACGACACCTGGCTAATTTTTGCATCTTTTTAGTAGAGACAGGACTTCATCACGTTGGCCAGGTTGGTCTCAGCCTCCCAAAGTGCTGAGATGACAGGCGTGAGCCACTGCACCTGGCCCCAGACTGACCCTTGACCAAAGAATCTGATTTGGCAAACCAAATCTTAGCGCGGTGTTCGCTCCTTTTCCCCTTACCAGAACATGATTCAGATCCTAACAAACACAAACAGGTCAAAACGCTGTGGTCTTGCCTATTATGCAAAATATTGAGAGAATGTTCATGATTTACTCTGTTTTCAGCAATTGTGTCCATTTTGAAGCTTCTCTCAAAGCTTTTAAACACTTCATTATTTCCTACTAAGTACCAAAATGTGTTGCCCAGGCATCACCAGTGGGAACTTTGTTTTGAAACCTTTAGAAACACGGTTTTCAATCCATAAGCCAGTTCTAACGCATCCCGTAATGGGGACCAAGGCAAAAACACACACACACAACTACAAAATCTTCCCTAAAAAAATGCAGGATCCTCAGAAAACCAACATCTACCTCCCAAACAACCTACCAAGTCATCAGAGAAGCGGTGAGGACTCCTCTGAAAAGACAAGTGCCACAGAAATAGAGCTTGAAACACTGAACATAATTTCCTGAAGATCCTTCTTGATACCCCTAAGAGAAGTGCCCTGCTCTGGCGAGGGAGGAAGAGGCAGAGAGAGCAATTTCCTTTCCCTCTGGATCGGGGTGGACGCCAACTCTGATGTGCAGGGCAGAGCACCAGGCTGCAGGAATTGGATGCTAATTGCAACCGTTTTTTTTGCTTTGGAACGTTGCCAGGAACTTGCGAACCGTTAAGACGATGACCAGGAAGCCGGATCCATCTCTGTGGCTGCGGATGTTCTGAATGATTCTCGAAGGCTCCTTGTCTGCTCAGTGACCCTGTTGGTCCTGGGCATATCTGAGCCAGGGAATTAAAGTGGGCAGTCTGACGTTCTCAAGCACCGTCCTGGATACTCCCACTGCCAGCTCATGGTCTGCAGCCACAGCGATCCTAGCTTTCCAGACCGGGTCCTGGGTGTTATCTGGAATAATTCCACATGGAAAGGTACAACGTGGCCAAGATCTCTGCAGGGATACGGCCCTCAGATGACAGACTCCAGGAAGAAAGAGCACGAGACACCAGTCTCTGTTTAGGTTTGCCCGGAGCCCACGAGCTTCTGATGCAGAGTTATGCACCGTCCCCTCGGCTGGGTTGTACATTCACTGATTGTCAGAAGTTTCTGATACTGCTGTGGGGGCGGGGGAAGGAGTCACAGAACAGTCTGGTCCTGCCCTCGGGACTCTACACATCATAGCGGTTCAAACTGTATGAGTTTGGGTAGCTCTGCCGACTGTACTGGAAGTGGTCTGTGAGGATGCTGCTGCGGCCGTACTGATAGTCCCCGTGCTGGGGGAAGAGGAGGCCGTTGTGAGGCTTCTCCACTGGGCTCCGGTGGCGCTCCTTGCTGCTCAGGTCGGATGTGGTGACAGGGAGGAGGTGCTTTCTGGCTTGCTGGTTTGCATCGTACTTGGTCTGTGCCAGAAAGAGAGAAATGAGACAGGACATGCTTGGGGCATAAGGAAGAGCTCATAATTCAAAGTCAGTCAACCGGTGGCTGCGGTGGCTCACACCTGTAATCCCAGCACTTTGGGAGGCTGAGGCTGGAGGATCACCTGAGCTCAGGAGTTTGAGACCAGCCTGGGCAACATGGCAAAACCCCATCTGTACTAAAACTGCAAAAAAATTAGCTGGGTGTGGTGGTCTGTGCTTGTAATCCCAGCTACTCAGGAAGCTGAGGCAGGAGGATCGCTTGAACCCAAGAGGCGGAGGTTGCAGTGAGCTTGGATTACACCACTGCACTCCAGCCTGGGAGACAGAGCAAGACACTGTCTCTCATAAAAGAATTTTTAAAAAAGTCACAGAGCTTGAGCAAGGAAAGCAGACATGAATGGATCAGACCACAGAGGACAGACGGACTCAGAAGGCAAGTCCTTGGCTGGATGCAGTGGCTCATGCCTGTAATCCCAGTGCTTTGGGAGGCCCAGGTGGGAGGATCACTTGAGGCCAGGAGTTTGAGATGAGACTGGGCAAAACAGAGAGACATCCATCTCTACATGTGTTAAGAACAAATAAAGAGGCTGGGTGTGATGGCTCACGCCTCTGTACTTTGGGAGGCTGAGGCGGGTGGATCACCTGAGGTCAGGAGTTCGAGACTAGCCTGACCAACATGGTGAAACCCCGTCTCTACTAAAAATACTAAAATTAGCTGGGTGTGGTGGCAGGCGCCTGTAATCCCAGCTACTCAGGAGGCTGAGGCAGGAGAATCGCTTGAACCCAGGAGGCGGAGGTTGCAGTGAGCTGAGATGGAGAGCCATTGCACTCAAGCCTGGGTGACAGGAGTGACACTCCATCTCAAAAAAAAAAAAAATAATAAATAAGAAAAAAGAAAAAGAAAAGGAAGGGAAGCCCTCCCTATGGGCCATCCCATGTACTTAACCACGAACCAAACAGAGCCTTTGAGAGGAGGGAGGGAAATCCCCAGCTGAGACACAGCTCCAGTGATATGAGGACCTGAGGTTGTCGACACAGGAAAAAGGAAGTCAGGGTGGGAAGGGGCTGTGCCAAGATCATAAAGCAGTTGGTGGAAAGTGCTGACCTACAGCCCCAGCCTCCAGCTCTGGGGAGGCTCTTCCTTTCCTGACTCGCTGGGTGCTGAGGGCCGACTTCGTTCCCCACCCAGCCTCCCCCGACTCTCACCTTGTTGTAGAGGAAGACCCCCAGGATGGCGGTCATCATGCCCAGGACGTTGGTGCTGGTGACTGGGTTGCGCAGCATGATCAGGGACACCGTGATGACCATGATTCTCTTGGTGGCATTGGCGACTGAGTAGCTCAGGGGGCTGATGAGGTTGAGGATGCTGAAGGCGATGACGTTCTGGGCAAAGTTACAGAAGCCACTGACAGCGAGGAGCAGGAGCGTCCAGGGCCACTGGGAGACATAGGTCTGCAGAGACCGGGAGGCAAAGACAGCACTTCAGTGGGCGGCGGTGACCTGGCCTCCCTCTATTCACCTGGCACGGGTAGGGAAGGGATGTGGAGGGCTTGTCTGGAGCCTCGCGGTCCACAGGCAGACAGCCCAGGTGTGTCACCAAGAGACACTGGGTGCTAGGTGCGTGACCTCAGAACCTCATGACGCAACACACGACACAGGAATCACCTGCCATCTCTTGCCAAGGAAAGAGGTGAAGCCAGTCCCCACTGGGTACCAAGAAGACACAAACCAAAGCCTTCCCTTGTCTCTGGCAGAGAACCGCCAGGAGCTCTGGTTTAGCAAAGCAAGGGTCTGCTTGTTGGACATAATGCATTCTACAAGATCGGAGGTCCTGGGAAGGTGGCCCTGAGCCTGCAAAGTACCGGGTAATATGAAAGCCACAGGTCTGCACCTATTGCTGTGAGGATGAAACAGAATCATGGCTTTGGAATCATGCTTTACAACAATAGAAAGCCAAACAAACACAAGAGGTGATGTTATCAACAGTTTAGGCTGGGCACGGTGGCTCATGTCTGTAATCCCAGCACTTTGGGAAGCTGACGCGGGTAGAGCACCTGAGATCAGAAGTTCAAGACCAATCTGACCAACGTGGTGAAAATCTGTCTCTACTAAAAAATACAAAATTAGTTGGGCGTGGTGGTACATGCCTATAATCCCAGCTACTTGGGAGACTGAGGGAGGAGAATTGCTTGAATCTGGGAGGTGGAGGTTGCGGTGAGCCAAGATCACACCATCGCACTCCAGCTTGGGCAACAAGAGTGAAACTCCATCTCAAAAACAAATAAACAAAAAAAGTTTAGGCTGGACATGCTGGCTCATGCCTGTAATCCCAACACTCTGGGAGGCTAAGGAGGAAAGATTATTCAAGGGCCAGCCTGGGCAACAGAGTGAGACCCTGTCTCTACAAAAAAAAAAATAAAACATTAGCCACGCATGGTGGTGCACACCTGTAGTCCCAGCTACCTGGGAGGCTGAGGTGGGAGCATCACCTGAGCCCAGGAGTTCAAGGCTCCAGTGAGCTACAGTGGCACCACAGGAGTCCAGCCTGGGTGACTGAGTAAGACATCTCAAAAAACCCCCACAAAACTTTAGTTACCATCTGACCAGAATGAGGCCATTCTGATTAAGGAGTCCAAAAATCAAAAGATCGCAACTAGCAAGAGAACCGGACCTTGGAACCCCCAAAGAGCCTAGGCTGGTCCAAGGAGAGGCAGACAGGCGAGAACCAGGTACAGCCCTGCAGGCCAACTTCCAGGGGCGCTGACCTTGGCCCTGGGAGGACAGAGCTGGCTCCGCCCAGGCCGATGGTGATTGGCGGCTCTGCCGGAGCTGCAGGATGACTGCCTGACTCCATCTCCACTGCACTCCAAGAGAGAAGGATTACAGGGTCCTCTCAAAGGCGTAGGCGACCAGCTCAACGCCAACCAAGTCAAGACTCGAACTCCCAAATGCAAGTTCATTTACCTGTGCCATATACCCTGCAGCTTCTGCGGGCAACCTCATTGGAGGAACAGCCCCTGTAATATACACGAGCCCACCAGGATGCCTTCATGTTGGGCCAGCCTGTTCTCCCAGGGGTCCCTCCCTAAGGTGATCGGTTAGGACTTCCAAGCTATTGTCCTCCTGCTTGCACAGACATCTATCTTCCAGGAAAGGAACCCATTCAATCTGGCTTAAAACAAAAAAAGATACATAATAAAATCGACTGATTTTTCCACGGGGTACACAACGCCAGGCATTTTAACAAATACATCAATTCACGGAGCCACCATGACCATCAGGGTCCAGAACACTTCTGGGGGCTTCTCTTTTGTCCTAAGCCCCTCCTCCTACACCTGGCAACCATGAGTGTTTTCTGTCATGACCCATGTGTCCTTGGGAGACTGTCATGTGACTAGAATCACTTGGCTCAGAACCTTCAGAGACAGGCTGCTTTCACTCAGTGTAGCGCCTCTGCCACTCATCCAGGTTGTGAGGGAGAAGAGCTGGTACCTTTTCATTGCTGAGTAATGCTCCACTGTATGTGTACTGAAGTTTCTTTTTTTTTGAGATGCAGTTTCGTTCTTGTCATCCAGGCTGGAGCGCAATGGCGTAATCTCGGCTCACTACAACCTCTGCCTCACGGGTGCAAGCGATTCTCCTGTCTCAGCCTCCTGAGTAGCTGGGATTATAGGTGTCCTTCATCACGCCTGGATAATTTATTTTTAGTAGAAACGGGGTTTCACCATGTTGGCTAGGCTGGTCTTGAACTCCTGACCTCAGGTGATCTGCCCACCTTGGCCTCCCAAAGTGTTGGGATTACAGGCGTGAGCCACTGTGTTTGGCCTTTTTTTTTTGGGATGGAGTCTCACTCTTGTCACCCAGGCTGGAGTGCAGTGGTGCAACCCGTGCCTCTGGGGTTCCAGTGATTCTCTGGCCTCAGGCTCCTGAGGAGCTGGGACCACAGACATGTGCCACCGTGCCTGGCTAATTTTTGTTCTAGTAGAGACGAAGTTTCACTGTATGGGTGAGGCTGGTCTCGAACTCCTGACCTCAAATGATCCCAAAGTGCTGGGATTCCAGGCGTGAGCCACTGCGCCCAACCCTAAAGTTTCTTTATCCACTCAACGGCTGCAGGACATCTGCGGGCCAACTTCCAGGGGCGCTGTGTGGACTGTTTCTAGTTTTTGGTGATCGTGAATACAGTTGCTATGAACATTTCACATAAAAAAGGCTTTTGTGTGAACATCAGTTTCATTTCTGTAAACAACCAGGAGTGGGGTTGCTACATGAGTGTGTATTTCACTTCATAAGAACCTCCTCAGTGCTTCCCAGAGTGGCTGCATCATTTTATATTTACACCAACAAAACACGAGAGTTCCACATGTGCCCCATCCTCAATGAATTTGGTATTGGATATTGTGTCTTTTTGAGAAGGGGTCTTGGCTCTGTTGACCAGGCTGAAGTGTGGTGGTGTAATCTCAGCTCACTGCAACCTCTGCCTACTGGGCTCAGGTGATTCTCTCACCTCGGCCTCCTGAGTAGCTAGGACTACAGGTGTGTGCCACCATACACAACTAACGTGGTGAAACCCCGTCTGTACTAAAAATACAAAAATTAGCTGGGAGTGGTGGCGCACGCCTATAATTCCAGCCACTCAGGAAGCTGAGGTGGGAGAACCGCTTGAACCTGGGAGGTGGAGGTTGCAGTGAGCTAAGATAGTGCTACTACTTTAGTCTGGGTGACAAGAGCAAGACTGCATCTCAAAAAAATAAATAAATAAATAAATAATAAAAAAAAAGAAAAAAAAAAGTCTAACAGGTATCCAGGTATGGTGGCTCACACCTGTAATCCTAGCACTTGGAGAGGTCAAGGTGGGCAGATCACCTGAGGTTGGGAGTTCAAAACCAGTCTGGCCAACAGGATGAAACCACATCTCTACTAAAAAAAAAAAAAAACAGAAATTAGCTGGGTGTGGTGGCATGTGCCTGTAATCCCAGCTACATGGGAGGCTGAGGCAGGAGAATCTCTTGAACTTGGGAAGTGGAGGTTGCAGTGAACCAAGATCACGCCACTGCATTCTAGCCTGGGCAACAGTTCAAGACTCTTGTCTCGAAAAGAAAGAAAAAGAAAAAGCCTAATGGGGGATTTCCTCCATTCTCCCTGAGGGTTAGGAAATCTCCTTTCCCACTCTCCAAGCTCCAAGCAGAGAACATCTGTGTGTCTTTCAGTGCCTTTGTCTATCTTCTGAGCTGCCTCATGTCTAGGCTGAAGATACAGGAAGAATGACAAAGTCACTGCTGGCTCCAAGGCACTTTGAATTCTGCCCTCTCCCTGGAGCCATCTGCCTGCTACCGTTAATTTTTGGTTCTCCAGTAGCTGTTCTGTGCATTCTGTCCAAGTTCTGAAAACAGGTCACCTGCTCCAGAGTCTAGGAATCCCCGCCTGTCTTTTGCCAAGCCATTTGGCAACTGGGCCAGGCAGCTCTGGGAACTGCCCACTCCAGCCTTTGAATCTTGGTAGAGTGGAGAGCAGTGGACACCAGCTGATGTTCTCCCATCTCATCCTCCTCCATCCTGTTCTGGAGCCTGGGACTGTGCTAACTAACCTGCCGTCCGGTTAGTCTACGCGGGAGACGCGAGACAAAGAGGGGGCACCCCATCTTCAGACTGCAACATTACTGAATATGGTGTGTGCCTAGGGCCGCTATTAAAATATACAAAGGCATGGGCTGGGTGTGGTGACTCATGCCCGTAATCTCAGCACTTTGGAGGCCGAGGCAGGCAGATCACCTGAGGTTGGGAGTTCAAGACCAACACGGAGAAACCCCATCTCTACTAAAAATACAAAATTAGCCAGGCAGGGTGGCACATGCCTGTAAACCCAGCTACTCGGGAGGCTGAGGCAGAAGGATCGCTTGAGGCCAGGAGTTCAAGACCAATGTGGGCAACAATGTGAGACCCTGTCTCTATGGAAAACAAAACAAAACAAAAACAAAAAACACCATGAAACCTACATACATAGCCTCAACTAAAAAAAAAGGAGGTATTATAATATGCAAGGTATCATAACAAAAGATAAGCACTAGAACAACAACAACAACAACACAAAGTGTCCTAAATGCAAGACACGCAAAGACAAAAGACCACAGCAAAAGCCTGTATATTCCCGTCCATGTGTGGACACATACGTACCCTAATGAGCTGTAACACAGAACAGCAGAGGAACTGACAAGAAACCCACTGGCAATATTACCCAGGCCTCCTATGTCAGTATGAAGAGCTTGCCAGGATGATTAGATAAAATGAACAGGGTGCAGAATAGTTCAGCTCCCCTTCAGTATCCACGGCGGACTGGTTCTAAGGACTCCTCTGGATCCCAAATTCTATAGATGTTCAAGTCTCTTTTAAAAAATGGTATAGTATTTGCATGTAATCCATGCACATCCTCCTGTATACTTGAAATCATCACTAGATTACTTATAATGTAAATGCTATACAAAGAATTGTTATACTGTATTGTTTAAAAATACGGATTATTCTGCTGGGCGCGGTGGCTCAAGCCTGTAATCCCAGCACTTTGGGAGGCTGAGGCAGGTGGATCACGAGGTCAAGAGATCAAGACCATCCTGGTCAACATGGTGAAATCCGGTCTCTACTAAAAAATACAAAAAATTAGCTGGGCATGGTGGTGCGTGCCTGTAATCCCAGCCACTCAGGAGGCTGAGGCAGGAGAATTGCCTGAACCCAGGAGGCGGAGGTTGCGGTGAGCCGAGATCGCGCCATTGCACTCCAGCCTTGGTAACAAGAGCGAAACTCCGTCTCAAAAAAAATAATAAAAATAAAATAAAATAAAAATATGGATTATTCTTTATTACTATACTTCGCTTAACTGTTTTTCCACCATGTATTTTCAATTTGCAGTTGGTTGAATCCACTAGTATAGAACCCACGTATATGGAAGGATGAGTGTATATTTATTTTTGACAGTGTCTTGCTCTGTCATGCTGGCTGGAGTGAAGTGGCTCAATCAAGGCTCACTGCAGCCTTGACCTTCCTGGGTTCAAGTGATCTTCCCACCTCAGGCTCCCAAGCAGCTGGGTCTACAGGCATGTAGCACCATGCCGGGTTAATTTTTGGTTTTGTTTTATGTAGAGACATAGCTTCATCAGTTTGACCAGGCTGGTCTCAAACTCCTGAGGCTCAAGCGACCTACCTACCTCTGCCTTTCAAAGTACTGGGATTACAGTTGTGAGGCACTGTGTGTCACCAAACTGTATTTAAAAAGCTACCTTTTGGGTTGGGCGCGGTGGCATATGCCTGTAATCCCAGCACTTTGGGAGGCTGAGGTGGGTGGATCACCTAAGGTTGGGAGTTTGAGAGCAGCCTGGCCAAAATTGTGAAAACCTGTCTCTACTAAAAATATAAAAAAAAAAGAAAAAAAAAATTAGCTGGGCGAGGTAGTGGGCGCCTGTAATCTCAGCTACTTGGGAGGTGAAGGCAGGAGAATTGCCTGAATCTGGGAGGTAGAGGTTGCAGTGAGCCGAGATAGTGCCATTGCACCTAGCCTGGGAGACAGAGCAAAACTGTCTCAAAATAAATGAATAAAATAAAATAAAAAGCTACTTTCTGTGTAAGGAGGACAGAGTATCATTATACATGTAAATTTGCTTATATCTGTAAAAATAGGAAAAGGTGAATTAGGATCTTAAGACGTGTTATTCACCGGTGGGGAGGGGACAGGATGGAGGTGACAGGAGTCACGGCCAGACTTCTTCATTTTTAAAAATTTTTATGAGACATAGTCTTGCTCTGTCACCCAGGCTGGAGTGCAGTGTTGTGATCTCGGCTCACTGCAACCTCCACCTCCCTAGTAGCTAGGATTATAGGCGTATGCCACCACGCCCAGCTAATTTTTTATGTTTTCCAAAGATGGGGCTTCCCCATGTTGGCCAGGCTGGTTTCGAACTCCTGGCCTCAAGTGATCTATCTCAGTCTCCTAAAGTGCTGGGATTCCAGGTGTGAGCCACTGCACCCAGCCTGCAAAGATACACTAACCTGCTCTCAGCACTCGAGCTGCAGTTGTGCTGTGGGGATGCTCACTCTGAAGCGATCGTATGAGTGAGTGTACAGTAGGATAATGTCAGTGAATAACTAGGGTATGACAAGCAACTAGGAAAAGCGGAGAAGAACCGACCATACCGGCAATGAGATCAGAATTCGAAATTCAAAGCAGTAAAGATCTGGACTGTCCAATCGAAAGGGAAACGAATCACTAGGAACTTTTTGCTGCTGTACCAAGTATGTACTTCCTAATTTTTCACAGCAGAGGCCAAACAGCAATGACAACCCAGTAGCAAAAAACACCCACGGCGCCTGGATCGTGTCTCTAAACACCACTCCCCACTAACAGCACCTGGAGTCCTGAAGGAAGGGCTGACTGCAGCTCTGGGACGGGAAGTACACGACGTGGGCGGGCATCCCGCTGGGTGAAACACTGACCCACAGTGCTATACAGGCAGGGAGCCAATCAGAAGGGCTCCAATGGCCAAGACAGGACAATTTTTTTTTTTTTTTTTTAAAAGATGGAGCCTTGTTCTGTTGCCCAGGCTGCAGTGCAGTGGTATGATCTTAGCTCACTACAACCTCCACCTCTCAGGTCCAAGTGATTCTCCTGCCTTAGCCTCCTGAGTAGCTGAGATTACACACGTGCCATCACACCAGGCTAATTTTTGTATTTTCTGTAGAGATGGGGTTTCACCATGTTGACCAGGCTGGTCTCGAACTCCTGACCTCAAGTGATGTGCACACCTCAACCTCCCAAAGTGCTGGGATTACAGGCATGAGCCACCATGCCTGGCCGAGACAGGACAATTTGACTAGGAAATAGAATAATTCATGCAACTCACAAACACATAAAGTTCGCAATGATGCTGGAGAAAAGAAGAGAACCCTTTCCCTAGCCCCAAACAAACCCTCAACTATGGCCAACATTTGGAGTAAGCCCCAACTCTCTCTTCTGAAAATTAGTCATTAAAAGGGACAGTTAAGCATTAAACTGCTTTCTTGTACCATACTTCAAGGTAACAAACCAGTCCTGGAAGATGGAAAGTTCTTCACAGAGGAATGACAGCTCATCAGTGTGGAAGGAAAGTCACAAAAGTTACAAAGGGTTTATTAATCAGGGAAACAGAGGTAGTAATCCACTACTTCAACAGGTAGAGCTAAAGACTGAAGACGAGAAATGTCACAAATCCAGCTAGACCACAGTAAGACTTCACTAAATATTTACTCTTCCTTTCTGTCTGGAAGAATCACACTGGCCTCTCCCTTACCGCAGGCACCTGCATTTGTCTGTAACACATTTTCTGAAGGCAGACCCTGCAGGTGGCAGAAAGATTCGACACGGAGTACATGGAAACAGAGACCAGGGAGGAAACTGAGCTGGGCAGTTTTCTTTTCTCTTTTGTGAGACAGAGTTTTGCTCTCGTTGCCCAGGCTGGAGTGCAGTGGTACCATCTCAGCTCACTGCAGCCTCTGTGTCTCTGGTTCAAGTGATTCTCCCACCTCAGCCTCCCAAGTAGCTGGGATTACAGGCATGCACCACTACACAGGCCAATTTTGTTTTTTGTTTTTTGTTTTTTTTTGAGACGGAGTTTCGCTCTTGTTACCCAGGCTGGAGTGCAATGGCGCGATCTCGGCTCACTGCAACCTCCGCCTCCTGGGTCCAGGCAATTCTCCTGCCTCAGCCTCCTGAGTAGCTGGGATTACAGGCACGCACCACCATGCCCAGCTAATTTTTTGTATTTTTAGTAGAGACGGGGTTTCACCTTGTTGACCAGGATGGTCTCGATCTCTTGATCTCGTGATCCACCCACCTTGGCCTCCCAAAGTGCTGGGATTACAGGCTGGAGCCACCGCACCCGGCCCCAATATTGTATTTTTAGTAGAGACGGGTTTCGCCATATTGGTCAAGCTGGTCTTGACCTCCTGACCTGAGGTGATCCACATGCCTTGGCCTCCCAAAGTGCTGGGATTATAGGCTTGAGCCACTGCATCCAGCCAGCATAGTTTTCAAAAGTTTCAGGGCTGGCCAGGCACAGTGGCTCACACCTGTAATCCCAGTACTTTAGGAGGCCACAGCAGATCTTTTAAGGCCAGGAGTTCAGAACCAGCCTGGGCAACACAGTGAGACTCTGTCTCTCCAAAAACAATTAAAAAATAAATAAATAAATAAGGCCAAGTGCGGCGGCTCACGCCTGTAATCCCAGCACATTGGGAGGCTGAGGCGGGTGGATCACAAGGTCAAGAGATCAAGACCATCCTGGTCAACACGGTGAAACCCCGTCTCTACTAAAAATCTAAAAATTAGTTGGGCATGGTGGCACAAGCCTGTATTCCCAGCTCCTCGGGATGCTGAGGCAGGAGAATTGCTTGAACCCAGGAAGCGGAGGTTGTGGTGAGCTGAGATTGTGCCATCGCACTCCAGCCTGGGTAAGAAGAGCGAAAGTCTGTCTCAAAAAAAACCCCACCAAATTCACTAGGTGTGGGGGTGCACGCCTGTAGTCTCAGTTACTCAGGAGGCTGAGGCGGGAGGATTGCTTGAGCCCAGGACTGAGGTCCAGGCTGCAGTGAGCCATGATTATGCTACTGCACTCCATCCCTGGCCACAGAGCGAGGTCTAAAAAAACTAAACATTTAAATTAAAAAATGAGTAAAAGTAATAAGTCAAAGTGCCACGTGGACCATATTGGCGAGACGTGAACGAGTCGCCTTCTCTTCCTCGATGCTACTGGAGCACACACAGGAGCTATCAGCACCGGGGATCAAGCACAGCAGAGAAGGAAGCGCGCAGGAAAGCCACTTCCTCGACGGGGCGCACTGAGTCACCACAGAGGGCCGACTGCCGAAAGGGCTGGCTGCCAGGAGCCCAGAAACACCCCAGTGTCAACACGCAGCTGCAGCTCCTCAACAGAGCACCTATTCTGGAGCTAGCCAAGGAAATGGCGTGTTCTCGGTGCTGTCCAACTCACCAAGTCGCTGCTGACCAGGAAAGCCGAGAGGTCCACCAGAACCCAGGTGGGGATCATAAAGAAGACGGCGTGGCAGCCCAGGATGTTGAGCAGCCGGAGATGGTGGATCCGTGAATCTCTCAAGACCTGGAAACGGAAAGCCTCTTTAGAGGGCGATTAAAATGATATGTGGCAAAAAGGGGTCCAGTTACACTGGCCCCAAACACAGTGATTGGACATTAACCCTGACATCTGAGCTTGAACACCAAACCTGCATGTGCCTCTATGAGAACATACACAGCTCACGTCTGAAACAAGCACCATGTTCCATGAATAAAGGACCGAGAAAAAAAAACAACCCACAAATAAAACAGTAATGCTCAGTGCTGGTGATGGTGACGTAGGCACTCTGAAATCCCACTGGTTTGAGGCTAAATCGGTATAGCCTTTTTAGAATACGACCAGACCAAATTTATTAAGGTCATAAACGTTTCATATCCTGTAACCTGAGAACCTAAGAACTGTAAGCCTATCATCCTGAAATAACTGAGACAGCAAAACATCACACACAGTGACTGTTTCTACCTTATAATGAAAAGTTGGAAATAACTGGTATTTCCAATAGGAAAACTGCATGAACCGTGGTACCTGAAGAGTGTGTGATTATCACAGGAGTGAAGAGCAATAACTGTTTTGAGACGGGATCTCACTCTGTTGCCCAGGCTGGTCTCAAACTCCTGGCCTCAACGGATCCCCTTTCTTTGGTCTCCCAAAGTGCTGGGATTACAGATGTGAGCCACTGCACCTGGCTTCAACAAGTTTTAGAATTTTGTTTTAAAATGAACTTTTTAGCTAGGCATGGTGGCTAACAACTATAATCCCAGAGCTTTGGGAGGCTGAGATGTGAGGATCACTTGAGCCCCGGAGACTGGGGCTGCAGTGAGCTATGATCATGCCATAGCACTCCAGCCTAGGCAGCAGTGAGTCCCGGTCTCAGGGAAAAAAAAAAAAAAAAAAAAGCTTTTCTCTTATTTTTTTTTTTCACATTGAGCACATTGACTTTTTGAGACAGAGTCTCACTCTGTCGTTCAGGTTGGAGTGCAGTGGTGTGATTGCAGCTCACTGCAACCTCCGCTTCCTGGGTTCAGGCAATTCTTGTGCTTCAGTGTCTGGAGTAGCTGGGATTACAGGTGCATGCCACAACGCCCGGCTAATTTTTGTATTTTTAGTAGAGATGGGGTTTTGCCATGTTGGCCAGGCTGGTGTTGAACTCCTGACCTCAAGTGAACTACCTGCCCTGGCCTCCCAAAGTGCTGGGATTATAGGCATGTGAGCCACTGCACCTGGCCAAAAAACATAAACTATTTAAAAAGCAAAATGACCAAAAGAATATCAGCAGAATGGCAATGAAGATTTTTCTGCTCCAATGCCAAAGAAATCTCTACTCAGCCTTTTTTTCCAATGCCACCAGCTTGCCGCCCTGCATACCCCTGACACCCCGTACATGTCCACTGATGGTGCCCAAATACCTTTTTGGAGAAAATGTTCTGAAGCGAGAAGCACAGCGTGGCAGCGAGGGCACTGACGAGCCCCCACATGTCGAAAGACAACTCGGTGACGGTGGCCAGCAGGACGCCGCTGATGATGGGGATGAGTGACAGGTACACCTGTAGAAGAGGTCATCAGGAGGGGCCCACAGGCCAGACCAGAGCTGGGCCACCTGCCACAGATGCCCAGGGAAAGGCCTCTCTCCTCCCTCAGCAAAGGGAGACCACCTGACCCTTTGCAAATGGTGTTTGCTGTACCAGTTATGCTCCAGAGGGTGGCTGGGGGGAGGTGGTTATCAGAGCACCAGGGGCAGGGCTTCTTTATGGGTGGTCCCATCCTCATACTGTCACCCCCATTAAGAGCCTCTGCTCAGGGCCACAGTTCAGGGTTGTTCCTAATTCCACAGATCTATCCAGCTGCCATGGTCGCACCAGGGTTTGAAGCCCTGATCCTCTACAAGGCTCCCTGTTCCATTTTATTTTAATTATTTTTAAAATTCACCTGGGTGCAGGTGGGCTAAGGCCGAAAAGGGTGTTAGCCCCCCCTTTTTTTTTAAGTTGTTTGAGATGGAGTCTTGCTCTGTCGCCCAGTGGAGGGCAGTGGCTCGATCTCGGCTCACTGCAACCTCCACCTCCCGGGTTCAAGCAATTCTCCTGCCTCAGCCTCCTCAGGAGCTGGGATTACAGGCATGTGCTACCACGCCCGGCTAATATTTTTGTATTTTTAGTAGAGACGGGGTTTTGCTGTGTTGGCCAGGCTGGTCTTGAACTCTTGACCTCAGGTGATCCATCCACCTCAGCCTCCCAAAGTGCTGGGATTACAGGCGTGAGCCACGGCGCGGGGCCTCCTGTTTCCTCTTACTTGAGGCTCTTCTAGCACGGTTACTCCTGGCTGGGATACTCCACTGATGCCTTCTCCTCCCAGTGACCTCCTTTGTCCTTAGACCTCCTGCCTCCACACGGAGAACTTTCTCCAACCCACCTCCACCTTGGGAGGCTCCTGTGCTGTGTTCCCCAGGCCACTGCCTGGGCTTCCCCAGCAGAGAACTCTCCACCCACTCTAACTGCCTGTCATATCACCCAGCCCGGGTAAACAGTGTACAACCTTAGGGCAGGTCCTGTTTGCTGCTTTATTCTGGTGCTTGACGCACAGCAGGCACTCAGGGGCTGCTGGCTGAATGAATGAGGAGCAAACATAGCGACAGGAAGCCTTCCTGAAGGTCTGGCATGTAAGGCTGAACAACTCCCAGCTTCTGGAATCCACTGGGATCCATTCCCCCACGTCCAGCTCTTCTGACTCTCGGCTCAACCCTGTCCTACAAAGAACAGTCTTCACTTTGGGAGGCCAAGAAGGGCAGATCACTTGAGGTCGGGAGTTCGAGGCCAGCCTGACCAAAACGGTGAAACTTTGTGTCTATTGAAAATAAAAAAATTAAAATAATAATAACAATAAACCTGTCAACAAACTAGGAATAGAAGGGAACTTCTTCAAGGTAAGAGACATGTAAGAATAAAAAAACAGAGCTAAATTCACATTCAACAGTGAAGGACTGAAATTTTTCCCCCTAATCATAAGAAGAGGACAAGAGCCGGGCGCGGTGGCTCAAGCCTGTAATCCCAGGACTTTGGGAGGCCGAGGCGGGTGGATCACGAGGTCAAGAGATCGAGACCATCCTGGTCAACATGGTGAAACCCCATCTCTACTAAAAATACAAAAAATTAGCTGGGCATGGTGGCACGTGCCTGTAATCCCAGCTACTCAGGAGGCTGAGGCAGGAGAATTGCCTGAACCCAGGAGGCGGAGGTTGCGGTGAGCCGAGATCGCGCCATTGCACTCCAGCCTGGGTAACAAGAGCGAAACTCCTCACTATTTTCATTCAATATTGTACTGCAGTAGGTTCGAGACAGGGCAATCGAGCAAGAAAATAAATAAATAAAAGTTATCCATATTAGAAAGGAAAATGTAAAACTATCTTTATTTGCTGATGATACCATTTTCTATAGCGATGATCTTAATGACTTTTAATAACTACTGAAACGATTAAAAGAACTCAGTCGAATTTCAGGCTATGCTATGGATTGAATGTTTATGCTCCTGTCCCCCAAATGTACATGTTAAAGCCTTATCTCCAGTGTGATAATATTTGAAGGTGAAGCCTTTGGGAGATAATTAGGTCGTGAGGTTGAGACCCTGTAGATGAGATTAGTGCTCTTATAAGAGGTGGCCAGAGAGCTAGCTCTCTCTCTGCTTTCCACCACGTGAGGTTACAATGAGAAGACAGCCATTTGGAACCAGAAAGAGGGCCTATCCCAGGGAATGAAATTGACCTATACTTTTTATCTTGGACTTTCCAGCCTCCAGAACTGTGAGAAATAAATATTTATTGTTTCAGCCACTCAAAAAAAAAAAAAAAAAAAAAAGACAAGACAAAATTAGCTGAGTGTGATGGTATGCACCTGTATTCCCAGCTACTTGGGAGGCTGAGGCAAGAGTCGCTTAAACCCAGGAGGCAGGGGCTGCACTGAGCTAAGATCATACCAGTGCACTCCGGCCTGGGCAACAGAGTGAGACTGTGTCTCAGAAAAAGAAAAAACAAAAACAACAGAACACTCTTAAGATGAGGCAGGAGAGGTGGAGATTTTAGGAGTTAGTGATCATGCCACAGGTAGGGCAGAGCGAAGGCTGTGGACCTGAATTCCAGCTTCCCCATTATCCGGCTGTGGTTCTCAGGCACGTGACTCTCCCCTCTCAGTCCATCTCAGGAAAACCTGAGATCAGGAACGATGACTACCTGCCTTATCTGCCTTGCAGGGTGGCTTCCTAGAAGTTACGATGTCATTATCGTTAGTCTGGCTGCCTAACCCGGCCAATTCCCAGTCTTTCCTCACTGTGTAAAGTTTCTGGCTCCTTGCCCAAGTTGGGTACAATGTCCCGTACAACGGGGAAGCCTGATAAACACGATGTGATATCCCGGGATGCAGCTACACACCTCCAGGACAACTCTGACCTCCCAGCAGCCAAGTCCCAGCCTGACATCGCCCTGGGGGAGCAGGGCTGCAGAGCGCACACAGGTCTTGCTAGGACAAAGACAGGCTGGAATGAAAAAAAAAAAATCAGCCATAGGTGGCCCAATTTCTATAAGCTCATCCAGGGCACTGCTTCTCTGAGTTACATAAAACACAAGATGCCAGAAACCAACCACTTGGAAAAGAGGCACAGTGTCCAGCTTGAAATGGATTCCAGCTGGGACAACAGGCGCCCAACTTCCACTTAAGGATACGGGGCAGCAAAGCTGTCTCCGGCTACAGCCATGGCTATTCTTGCCCCAAGCCAGGAAATACCCTGGCTTGGCATCTTGAACAGAACTTGGACTGTGCCAAAAGCATCCTCCTTATGCAGCCCTGAGTCATGTGTGCCACTTTCACTGCTGTTCCCAGACTATCACAACTTCTGGCTGTTTTAATTTCTAAGACTTCGCTGGATTTTGCCAAGATCCAACTCCTTCGATCGTGTCTGCCTTCCGATCCCAGAGGTCCCCTGACAGTTCTCTCTTGTAAAGAGCTGAAAACTTATCCAAGCGCAGTGGCTCACACCTATAATCGGGGCTGAGGCGGGTGGATTACTTGAGGTCAGGAGTTTGAGACCAGTCTGGCAACATGGTGAAACCCTGCCTCTACTAAAAATACAAAAAAATTAGCCAGGCATGGTGGTGCACACCTGTAGTCCCAGCTACTTGGGAGACTGAGGCAGGAGAATCGCTTGAACCTGGGAGGTGGAGGTTGCAGTGAGCCGAGATTGTGCCACTGCACTACAGCATGGGTGATACAGCGAGACTCCATCTCAAAAAAAAAGGAAGTGAAAACCTATCAGACAGCGTTCCAATCTGCCCCTAGTCCCACTGGAAAAGCCACACATGGGGTGTCTGGCCAAGATGTGACCAAGCCGTTACCTACCAGCAAACCCAGGTAGGGAATCAAAACGGGGAGGAAAATTGGAACCCAAAGGGACAACAGTTCCTAAGAGCACACAGCACAGATCACAGAGGGACACATACTCCACACACCATTGCCCACAGGGTGACTGTAGAACATGAGTAGTAAAAGGCCACTGGAGGCCTCCACACTTCCCTATTTGACAGGAAGCCAGGCAGCCTGCAGACCAGGATCCTGACCACGTCACCAGCTGGCAACAGGGAGGAACCCCCTGGAGCTCCCATCTGCCCAGAGTCCCTGCCCGGGGTTACCTTGGTGCTCTGCTTCTCCTTCATAATGATCCGGGACAGGAGGACCACCCAGATGGGCATGGTGGCCTTGACTGCAAAGAAAGGGAAGGGCACTCAGGGGGCTGCCTGAGTTCCAGGGCCCAAACTGTTCCACCTCCACGGCGGGATGGGAGGGCCTGGCAGCCCCTGACCTCTTCACCCTTACCTTTCGGTAAGTAAAGAAAGCTCTCTTCTCAGCCCCTTTTCTCCCTGAGAACCCTGTGCGTGTCCCTCCCCTAACAAAATCCTTGGCAGCCCCTGTGTGGATTACTCAGTCCGGCAGGACGCCCCCGGGCCGGCGCACTCCTGTCCATGCGCCCAAACCCCAAGCGGCGCGCCCCGGCCGCCGCCCCTCAAGCCGGGCGCGGAACCTACCGGTGTGTGCGTAGGACACGGGCACCTTCCAGATGCTGACGTGCGCTGATACAGATGCGAAGTACTTGCCGAAAGCAAGCGGCAGCACGTAGCGCGGATAGAAGCGCGGCGGCAGGAGCGGGCCCGGAGACGGATGCGGACTGGGCCCGGGGCCCGAGACGGGAGGCGCGGGGGGCACGCGCCAGGCGCGCAGCAGCGGCGGGAGCCCCGCGCACAGCGCCAGGATGTGGCACAGCGACACGGTCACCGGGAACGGGAAGGCGCTCAGAATCACCTTGTTGACCACATTGCCGCCCGCGCTCAGCGCGTACCACAGCAGGCACAGTGCCGCCACCCGCGCGCCCTCGCGCGCCCCGCCACCGCTGCTCGCTGCAGCCGGGCCCCCCGCGCCGGGACCCGCTCCCACCGCAGCCGTCGCCATCCTGTCCAAGCGGCCGCCTCTTCCCGCCCGTCCGACTGCCCGACGCCGGGCGGGGGCGGGGCTGGGCAGGGGCGGGCGCTCTGGTCTACGCCGCTTTCCATTGGTCGCTGCCTTCGCGTCATCTCCCCGCGCCGGCCGACGCTCCAGCCCTCACGTCTCGAGTGCAGGCCCCGCCCACTGTAGATGCGCTTCCGGCAAGGGCGGAGCCGAGTCCGGAAGCGGAAGAAAGGGACGCAGACCTGGATCCAAACTGTGCCACCCGAGACGTGGGCGGTCCCGGTGACCCAGAGCCAGAGCTCGAGCGGGACTGGCGAGCAGGAGGGAGGAGGGCTTCGCATTGTCGGCGTCTGTGCGTGGGCCAAACATCAGGGCCTCGACAAGGGGTACCTGGGCACCCCCTAACTAGATTCCCGATTCCTAGTGGCTGGCGGCGGCGGCCACCTAAGGTAAAAGAACTTTTGGGAAAAGAAACCAGTTGTGAAAAGCTCTTGGGCTAAACTCGCTCTGCAAACCGGGGGCGCACGCCCGTGGCCAACTCTGGCAGTGGGACTATTCCGGAGCGTCTGGTCCCTGAAATCGTGTTCTGGAAACCACCGCAACGTGAGCAGTTCTCGGGCCTGGCTCTGGTATCATCCCACTGAATCCTAGGAAGGCCGTGCGGTAGGTATCGCTATCCCCATTTCACAGACCGAAGTCCAGAATGGGGAAGCTACTTGTCTTAGGCTCCTCTGTCACTCGGGACCGTGGCCATGGAAGCGTCCTTGGACACCTGTCTCCAAGGCTCTGCGGAAGGAGGAGGTGCCAGGCCCTGACCCTTGATGCCCAAGAACCAAGAGGGATGGGCCAGCCCCTGGTCCCAGTGGAGGAAAACAAGTCGAGGTTTTCAGGAAGGTGAACTTACACTAATTCAAGGACAATTTGTTCCCCAAATCGTGTGCCTCCAACTTTTTCGGGGAGAGGGTGTTAAAATATCGTTACAGGGGCCGGGCGCGGTGGCGCAAGCCTGTAATCCCAGCACTTTGGGAGGCCGAGACGGGTGGATCACGAGGTCGAGAGATCGAGACCATCCTGGTCAACATGGTGAAACCCCGTCTCTACTAAAAATACAAAAAACTAGCTGGGCGTGGTGGCGCGTGCCTGTAATCCCAGCTACTTAGGAGGCTGAGGCAGGAGAATTGCCTGAACCCAGGAGGCGGAGGTTGCGGTGAGCCGAGATCGCGCCATTGCACTCCAGCCTGGGTAACAAGAGCGAAACTCCGTCTCAAAAAAAACAACAACAACAAAAAAAAATCGTTACAGTGTTTTTACTTGTCAAATTAGAAGCAGTAACCTTGGGCAGGGTGACTCAAGCTTGTAATCCCAGCAATTTGGGAGGCCAAGGCGGGCGGATTGCTTGAGCTCAGATGTTGGAGATCAGCCTGAGCAACATGGCAAAACCTTGTCTTTGCAAAAAAACACCAAAATTAGCCATTCGTGGTGGTGCACGCCTGTGGTCCCCACTCCTAGGGAGGCTGAGGCTGTTTTGATCCCAGGTCAAGGCTGCAGTGAGCTATAATGGTGCCACTGCCTAGGGAGGCTGAGGCTGTTTTTGATCCCAGGTCAAGGCTGCAGTGAGCTATAAGGGCGCCACTGCACTCCAGCCTGGGTGACAGACCGAGACCTGGTCTCGAAGAAAGCAGCAACCCAACTTGGTCCCCCAAATGTAGCGTATCTTAGCTTATCTTTGCCTTCTCAAAGGTAGGCAACATTAGTGCCCTAGGCCCTCCTGGATACATGGACAGGTGTGGTAGTCCCTGCAGGCAGGGGCAGGGGGAGCTGCGGCCCATCCCAAAGCTCTAGAGATGCCGGTAGGAAGCCAAGCTCTGCACCCTAATATCCTCTAGCTGTGCCCTCTATCAGAGCAATGTCACATCCTTGGGACACCACGTATCAGCAGAGCTGTTAAAACACGGGCACAGTGGTATAACTACAGGCACCCTACAGCACAGCTGAGTGTCAGATACCTCCACTGACATGCTTTTAGTTCTCTTAACTCTGGGGTATTTTCACCCACCAAATGGGGACATGTGCACATGAGTGAAGAGATGGTTCGGACACACAGCTAGTGGGTGGCAGCCTGGGTTCAACCTCATCCTGCCTTCAAAGCCACTTCACCCATGGCCTTTTCTTGGGGAAGGGGTGTGTCCTGGCACCAAGCTTTTGCCAGAAATCCCTGCTAGCTCTGAAACTGGCTTTGGGCATAGTCTTACAGGCTGCAAGGAACCCTTGGTTTGCTCTGTAGGGCTGCATGTCTTAAGGTGTAGCTGTTTCTTCAAATTCGTGAAATTAAGCAGATATAGATAAGATGACCTATTCTAAACTGAGAAACTAGAAAACCAGTCATAGCTTACAGTTTCAGGGATGAGGGGCAACTAGAAGATTGCCACTCTGTAGCCAAGAGAGAAAAATTTTTTTGGTGTCGGCACCAACCAGCTAGTGAGGCAGCTGAGGGCCAGGGCCAAGGGGTGGGCTGCTGGACACACACAGCTCTGAGCCTCTGGGCCATACCTTGTAAGAACTAGGTATTTTGTTGAGGTGGGGGTAGTCAGAGACCTGTGCTATGGAGCCTGCTCTCTAGGCCAGTTAAGGTCTGGGTGAGACAAGATGAATGTTCCTGGGATGTGCCCCTGAATGAATAAAAGGCTCCTCCCAAATGCAGCAGGAGCTAACAGGTGGACTTCAAGGCTGTGCCCTGCCCTGCCTCCCTACATCCCAGCTGTTGGGGTCTAGGTATTCCTGGCTAATCCATGATCCAGGAAAGGGCTGATTTGGCTGTGAAGGTCCAAATGAGAAAAGATTCTCATACTGGTTTGTGCAAATGGGTTTTTTATTTCCACATTTATATCACAAGGTGTCCACTTACTGGACCAAATAGCAAAGTTGCTCCCTTCTGCGTCCTGAGAACACAGAAGTCTAGGTACTGTACATTCACTAAGGCTCCTTGTTTTTGCAAATCGCGTTTATGACAAATAACCATAAGGCAAACGAATCTAAAGGAATGGTTATGAGTGTTTCCAGCGTACAGACAGGTCTGCCCTCTCGCCCCACAGTACAGCATAAAACCAGTAGCACCCTCAGTAACTTTTGTGTTGTTTAGGGGGAACTCTAGAAAGGTGAAGTTTTCTAGATGTGTACAGGAAGGGAAAAAAGGAAAGGGGGGAAGGAAAGGTTTTTTTTGTCTGGTGGTCTGATGGAGGAGGAGGAGTTAAAATAAACTCAAGAAAACTTAAATTTCTGCAGCATTTCTGTAAAAACTGGGTTATAACTGAAACCAGATATAAACAGGTGGCTGCCCCTGGAGTTAGGGTCACAGTGGTTGGCCAGCTGGCCTGCCAGCCCAATGCCAGTGGCTCACCACAGCTGAGGAGCTTCTGGCACACGATGGACAACACTGGCCTGACAGTGGCTGGGTAGGGGCAAACAGAGGCCGCGGCATGGCCCACTGTCTCACAGACACTCGGGGCCAAATTAAAGAACAGGAAATGCGAGAGAGATGAGATGCGTGCTTCTGTTGCTGTGTTAAAGGTAACCTCTCCCACAGGCTTTCTGTGCCTGCCTGCAGCTGAGGTCCCAGCTTTCAGGTGCTGGAAAGTGTCCGCACCTCTTCAGGGGTGAGGGACTAACGCTTTTTATAGCTGGTTTGCTATAGAGTTCTGAACTCAACTTTGTCGTCCTTCCTTCCGCGCGGTCCTTCCTTCGCAATTTTGTTAGTAAACTGGTAGCAGCATTTCACAAAAGGAGAGTTTTGAGGGAAGGGCGCAGAGAGAGACCGCGTAACTCCCGCCCCCTCCCTCCTGCCCGGGCCGGACTCCCCGAGTTCCCAGCCGCAGGAGGCAGCTGGGCCCCGGCCACCCGCCCACCTGCCTGCCCGCCCGGCTTCTGCAAGATGGGAATGCACTTTGTGGCTGACGGGCCGGTCAGTCCAAGCAGACATAAGGCAGAATGTTCAAGCGCCCGTCGTCGCCGTGTGGATCGAGCGATATGCACTGCGTCCAGTCATACCAGTTACCCTGTGTGTCCTGACACCCGTTCACCCCTGGCCACTGGCTGGCCTGGATTCTGTTGAGATCGTCCTGTGTGACCTCCCGGGTCAGCCCAGGGAGGTCCGTGGGTGGGCTTTGAGGCACCAGCACGTGCAGCTGCCTGGCCCCTCGCCGGGTGCTCTCCTCCTGCTTCAGGTACTCAGACATGAAGTGGTGGGCCCCTGGGGTCTGTGCGCCCGACGATGAGAGCAGGCTGCTCTGCCGGCTCAGGTAGGACTGGATGATCTCGTTGCGTGACAGCTCCTTCCAGTTCGTCTGTTCGAAGGGGCTCTGGAGGCTGGCCTTGGCCTCCTGCTTGTCCAGCTCTGTCCTGGACGGCTGCTCCATGTGCACAGGGCTGTCTGCCCGCACTGGCTCTTTCTGGGTCAGAGGTTTGATCTGTCTTGTCATGGGGTCAAAGGTGAGCTTCCGCTCTTTTAACCGGACAGGCTTGACGCCCGCCTTGGCCACCTGCCCGTCCAAGTTAACCGTGTAGTCTCGAGGCCGGTACCTCTTCTTCTTTTTACTGTCCGAGCCCCCAGAGGAGGCAGCGTCACTGTCCGCCTTGGAGGAGTCTGGGGAGAAGCCCGCCCGGGACAGGAGGGGCTCGGCCGGGGATAGCCCGGCCTTGCAGCCTGACCCTGCCAGCCGCTGGTGGCTCTCAGGCTGCTCAAGCCAGCATACTGGGCTTTCCGAGCTGGGCAGCAGCTCGAGCCGCCGCACAGGGGGTGTGGACGGCTGTGCCAGTGGAAGTGGTGACGGCACCTGTGTGGCATCGAGCGCCTGGGGCCGTGGTGAGGGGCTGGGCACAGAGCCCTTAGGTACATACAAGTTCTGCTGCCGGGTGAAGGAGCCCTCATGCCGTGAGTTCCGAGGACTGAAAGAGCAGCGAGGGGGCCCCTTGGGGTGGGGAGGCCCCGAAGTCTCGTCCACCCTGTCCAACTGCTGCAG